AAATCAACAAAACAAAAAAAGGAAAAACTAGGCGAGTAGCAAAAAATTCAAAAAAGAAAAAAAGAAAAGAAGAGAGAGAGTTTACTCGTAGGAAAACTAAATCCCATCACTCTTCCGGAATCAATTTCGTCTAGGTAAAAGAATTTCTCTTTAATTTTCAAAATTTACTCGTCAACTTTTAATTTTTGGGGTTTTTGTTGTTTGGTTAGAAATTGATCTTAGGGGTTAAATTTAGGGCTAATTGAGTTCAATTTGGGATTTAAACCCGAAATTAAAGCTTAATTGACAACAATTGAAACCTAGGGTTCCCGAGAATTTTTAGGCAAAAAAAATTGATTTGGGGGTTTTCAAAAATTCAAATCCTAAAAGATTTGAATTGACTTGATTTCAAGTGAAATCAAGTCAATTATTTCTAATTGAAAGAAAATTTTAAAGAAATCAAAGTTTAGGGTTCGGACAAATTGGGGAGAATTTTGTGAAATTGGTTTGGGGGTTTTTGATTGAGTAAGGAAAAGAAGGAAAGGAAGGGGAAAAGAAAGAAAGAAAGGGGGAAATCAAGCGACCATTGGATCATCCATGGCAATAGCCAAATTCAAAAAAAAAACAGAGAGAGAGAACGGGACAAATTCGGATGAAGAGGGAAAGGGAAAGAAAAGAGAAAAAAAGGAAAAAATGGAAGAAAAGGAAAGAAAAGGAAAAGAAATAGGGACGAACCACCACTCATTTGTCCATGGCAGAAGGGAAGAAGAAAAAGAAAAAGAAGAAGAAGAAGAAGAAAGAGAAACGGGAAAAAGAAAGGAGGAAAGGAAAATTGAAAAAAAAAGGGGGGCTTTTGATCTAAGTTGTTTTGAAATGGGGATTGGGTTTTGTTATTGGGTTTGTTTTTTTTTTTTAAGTGGTGTGGGTTGGGCTTGGCCCAACCCATGGGTTAGTGGGATGGACTAAAATTCTAGCTCGGTTCGAAAATTAAAAAAAATAAAAAATTTGGTCCGGATCGGATAGTCCAACTCGAAAAAAAAAAAGGAAGAAAAAGAAAAGGAAGAAAACAATATGTGCTTTTTATTTATGCGTGTTTGTAATTAATTAATTTAAGTATTGAATCGTCTTTAATTATTTTAGCTAACGTGATTTTAATTTTAAGTTTATTTATGCATATTAGTTAGTTTATATTAATTTAGAATTTGTTATTTTAATATTTTGTAATCGTTTTAATTTACCCTCGAATTTATTTTATGCATGCTCGTTATTAATTTAAATTTTAGTATTTGAATTTTTTTCTTTTATTTAATTGATGTAGCTTTAATTTATTTGTTTAGTAATTAGACTCGGTAAGTAATAGATAGAGGATTGTCAAGTCTCCTAATTCTTTAGGGATCGATGACAATCTTTCACTAAAGTAAAAAATAAAAATAAATAAATAAAAATGAAAAAAATTACAAAACTTTTAACAAAGTCTCCTATCCGATAGGGACTGTTGTTAGCCAAAAAATTCATTTTTAATAAATAAGTTTTCTCCGACATATCGGTTGTGTCGAGGCTCAAAAAGTAGATCCGATGTTTGAATCGACGTGTCTCCCAATGAAAGATATTCGACGATCGTTTCAATATGATGCCACGCTCAAAAATAAAAAACTTAATTTGGACTTAAAAAATGGAGTTTCAAAAATCAAAAAATAATTTGACAAAAAAAATAAAACATTTTAGGAGATGAATTTAGGACTAAACTAGATGTGGTACCTTTCTCGGGAAATGACACTTTTGGGTGATTAAAAATCTTCCTAAAAGTGTAACCAACTCTTTACCTTAGAATCTACGAACTAGTGCTCATTTTAGTTTCCTAGTTCCTTCAATACTAGGTAGTGACTCCATACTACGTAAATACATTCAGCAAATAAAAATAAATCTTAAACTAAGGGATTTTTTTAGGAGTCTCGTCCGACGTTGGGTAGCGATAGATGTTAGTATGGATTTTGTTTTGGGATTGCCCCGAACAAAGTGAGGTAATGATTTCATCTATGTAGTTGTTGATCATTTTTCTAAGATGGTTCATTTTATTCCTTACAAGAAGATGACAAACGTTGTTAATGTTGCTCATTTTTATTTTCGGGAAGTGTATCATCCGCATGGTTTGCCAACATTCATTATGTCCGACGGAGATACAAGGTTTCTTAGTCACTTTTGACACAATTTGTGAAAGATGGTGAACACACGGTTAAATTTTAGCAATGCCTCTCACCCGCAAACAAATGGGCAAACCGAAGTTGTCAACCGATTTTTGAAAAACTTGCTACAATGTTTAGTTGGTGATCATGTCAAGAGTTAGGATCGGAAGTTGTGCCAAGCTAAATTTGCTTGTAACCATAACGTGAATAAGAGTACGGGATTCAATCCATTCTAAGTTATGTATTATATTGTTCCGTATGGACCTTTGGATCCGATATCGTTGTCAAACAAGACCAAGATTCATGGCAAGGTAGCTGATTTTGTGACGGGATTACAAGAAATTCACAAGGATGTACGTGATAACTTGACTCGGTCTTATTTGAAATACGTGATAGTCGTTGACAAGAAACGTCGCCATGTCAAGTTCGAATAAGATTACTTCGTATGGGTCTGTCCTTACCAAGGATCGTTTTTCCGTAGGAGATTACAACAAATTGACAACGAAGAAGATTGACCTTGTGGAGATAGTTGAGAAGATCAACCCAAATGCTTATCGTCTTAAGCTTCCTAGTCATATTTGCGTTGTTGATGTGTTCAATGTTAAGCATTTGATTCCCTTTTGTAAAACTCGTGAACATTTGATGCGTCAAGAAAGCTATAAACTTACATAAGTTAAAAAAAAAAAAAAAAAAAAATCAGAAAGTAAATTACAAAAAAAATCATAAAGCTGCCTAAAAAAATATTATAAATTAGGAGTTCTCTAATTACAAAAAAATAATAACTTAATAAGGAAATAAATTTGAAAGATAAGCTACACTAATTAGGAATACAGTTACTACTAATAACTTTTCCCAAGTATAATAAAAATGCCGAATTCCATGCGTCCCAATTTGCTGCCAAAGTCGTTTTTAAATTGTAGAGTTTGCCTTGATTTTATATAGTTTGATCCTTGTTATTTTTTGAGTTGTCAAATTTAGTGTTTTTTATAGCAAGTCTTGCAATTTGACTCAATTACTAAATGTTAATTGAAAAATATTTATTTTAAACGTGTAAAAGTTTGATGAGTCGAAAATATTTAAATAAAGGAAGAAAGCGATTCATCAAGATAGAATAAAATGAAAGCTAAATATTGAAATCTTTCTCCATGCATTTTCCTCTCCTCAGCATTTAAAGCAGAATAGAAGCTGATGTTGTTCCTTTCTCATTATTGGAAAGAAGAAATAATATACATTGTTGGTTAGAATTTTTGAATCAATTCTGTTTTTTATTCTCACTCACGATATTGTTCTACAAGTAATCAATTTTAGTTCGGTTGCTTTATTTACCATTACATAGTATTTGAATTTCTTACTCAAGAAATTTTTTTCAGGAATACACCCTTGTGAAGAATACATCATGCATGATCATGATCATTCTTTATTTTCCGGGAAACATTCATTCTTTTTTCTTCGTTTTCTAGACATGTACGTAAATATTTGATAAGTAGATTTTGTCTAGTTATTTAGTTTTTATTTTATTTAGCTCTATATTGTCTAGTGCATTTATCGAATGATCTAAATCACTATATTTGAATTCAAATGATAAATGAAGGAAAGAACCTTTTTAACCGTCAACAATATCCCTTGAAATTATCTAATCATTTAATAAGTTGATAAACTCATTTAGCATTATTCCAAGAAATCAAACACCAAATCACACCAACAAATCCGGATCTCATACATTCAAAATTTAAAGAATGTCAAGTGATAAATCGTTTATCCAAATGGGAGTAAATTGTAGGGTTCTCAAAAAGAAAAGGGGGGAGGGCGGAGGAGGTAAAATAGGGTAAATTTTAGTCATCAATTTAAAAGAAACTGAAGCACAAAATGCTGGCAAAGTGATGCATTCTCTTCTCCAAATTGGAGAGATATGCCATCCAACCTTCGAGCCATAATTTATTTTGACCTAATGACCCCATGTCCTTGAACTTTACATCATGTTAACCAATCAGATTGACGCCTAGCTACCGATAGATTATGCCTGCAAATCATCACCATCATTCGGAAACAGGTAGTGATTTTGAGTTTTTGTGCAAGTTTAGATAGCAAACACAAGTCATTTACGTTTTACAGTGATGAAATGGTTCCTCTCTTTTATTTTCTTTTTGGGCTCTTACTCTTATAAAATGTCTTCTTCTTTCTTCTTTTTCTTTTGGGTTTTTGACTTTTTGTTTCATACGTCGAAGCAACAACAACGTTGTTCCACCCCTTTCTCATCTGTAGCGGTTTTCCACCTCTTTAAAGTCACGTTCCCCTCTTCGACATCCAGAATCGAAAATTTGACTGACAAAATCACTGAGCAGTATCATATTTCAATCACTATTTGTGACAGATCATTCGGTAGTTCTTATCAGATGATCCGGCCATTAAACAATCCACAAGTGCCATAATAACACCACTGAATACTGGTGATTAAGCAACAAGGGCACCATGTTGCAGAACTCCAAAGATTTAGGATACAAGAATATGAAAATGGCGAGTCTGTCCAACGTAAAAAAAGATTCTATAGCTTCCTTGAAACTACACCAAGTTCCATGAAACTCGAAAGAATGTGCGTTCAGCCATGGATTATTTGGCAATGCATTAAAAGAACCTAACAAAATCCTGAGTTCCAGGAGTTGAACTGTCTCTGTCTACACAGCCACAAAAAGAGATTCCGTTCCAATTGTTGCCAAAGCAACAGCCACAACGATAAAGGACCAATCAAATACAAACAAGAACTTCGAAGCTTCACCGTATACTGAAATTGTCTCATCGTCTTCTCAAATTTTATTCCAACAGCAAAACTGAAAGCTGCAATTAGTGATGATGATCTTCTTCATCACCGTGTCCATCTGGAGGTCCTCCAGGGCCCACGACTTCCAGCTGTCAAACATCAACAAGAGAATCAGGAAATTTCGGCAATACTCAAAGCAACTTCCTGTTATAGAAGTGCAACCAAAGACAATTCAGTGAGAAAAGTCACTTGGTTTATTCATCCAGAATTCCAGGTGCCCAGAACGAAAGGTAACTATTTGGCTTCACATTCTGTTGATTGAGTTACCCTAAGTCATTAATGGTATGATAGATAGCGCATCGTGATCCAAAAATTAAATCCAAACCAAGTCCATAGACATCGGTTTGTAATTGAACATTCGTACGAATAAAGCTTGCAAAGCCCTGGATGTTTACCCTACTCTTAATTTTTTATTTTGATTCAGATATCTACGCTCATAATGACATCTATGCTCATAACTCATCAAACGGATGACAAATATATATTTCTAGTAAAGTAAATTATCATATAAGTAAACCTTGATAGGCATCTCATGGCATGATGTGGTAAAACCATCTACTGCAAGAACTGATCGGTCAACCATACAGGTTATAAACCTTTCATTGCACACAGGTGCATGTGCATATTTGCATGCAAAACTACATCAAAAGGCCAAATTTATGCACAGATCTTGACATTCAAATTATGCTCAGTACACTACAAAAAACTGCTAGTGATTTTAATTCAACTCTTCCACTTACCACAAAGTACTGTGAGCACACTGGGCATTCATGAGGCTTGCCTTTCTCCAGCCAAAACCACACAACATCATGCTCATCCTCTGCAACTCAAAAACGAGAAAATTATGTGAAATTCATTTTTTTAATTTACTGCAATAAATTACTTTTGCTTAATTCAACGAAGATGCACTGATAAGCTCAAACAAAAATAAAGTAACAAAAATGATAGAAGCCCACCTCCTTCACCTCCAGGGCATCCAACTATTCTCTTGTCATAGTAGGACTTGACAACAGCAGGCTCTTCCTACAAGGGCGAAAAAAAACAAACATATACAGATTAAATATGCAGCCAAAATCATCACAGTTCTGCATGATGAACAGCAGAAGGCATGATACAGAGTAAAAAACGATAACAACTTGTCAGCAATGAATGGTTGACAATTCAAAAAGGCCCATTATAGACAATGATCCCTGCATAAACTCTGCATTACAAGGATGGACAAGCATTTATAATAGCAGAAAATCCAAAGGGCATCTATTTTAGGGTTGCCAATTTTGAACTACCAGCCAATTAAAACGGAAGTTTAGCAGAGTTGTGCTTGAAAATAAAATCATAACAGCAAAAGACTGATCCATTTGAAAGAATCTAATATAAATAAACATAATGTATACAAACAAACCTAATATGTAAAATTAGCAAAGACGAATATGATCCCATTTGTCTACAAAAAGGAACCATCTTCCTTCATAACAACAGGGTGCAGGTTGAACCAACAAATGGCCCCAGTGAACTGAACCAACCCAGACTAACATAAGCCATTAGAATTTGCTTGTTAACATTCCAAGAAAGAGATTGGATGTGAATAAAGGTTATTAAATTAAACTAACTCATTCACAGATTACCTCAGGTAAAAATAAAAAAGATGGAATCAGAATAGGATTGACGTCCTTCTCGATTTATAACCATAGGGTAGGAGTTTCAGATACAAGGAAGAAATAATCTTGAAAGCCATCTACCATCCCAAAACATCCACTCCAAAGCCACCACCATCAATAGCAATTCATCTACTGTTTTATAATCTTATTTTCATCTCAAGTCTGTATAACATAGTACATGTCTCTCATTCCCACTAGATTTGCTGATTTTTCTCATTCTGATTTTTTATTTTTCTGTATTGATTCCTAAACATATCCTTAAGTACATGAACCATTTTTGTCATACAAATATAAAGCATTACAACCAAGTTCCATGAAAAAGCAGCCCATAGCACCCAAATGAACTGCAGACAATAATAATGTACAAAAGCACGAAGAGTGAATGACTTAACCTATTAAAAAACCCAATATTAAATCAGAATCAACATTGTTGAATTTGAAAAGCGCAAAGCACTAACCTTTGTGCCAAAAGGGCCTTCGGGATAGTCTATATCAAGAATTCTCTTTCCCTGAACAGCAAAAAAAAAATTGAAATCAGAATAATCTCTTACCCACTATATAATTAAACCCAACTTATAAAATAGACTTTGGTTTATGACTATTCGAATAAAAAAAAGGGGGCATGCATTATCATCTTAAATTATCATAATTAGATCCAAACAAAACAAAGTACAACAAATGCATGTGACACTGCACTACGCTCCATTTAGCTTCCCATTTCATGCAAATCAAATTGACAAACCAAAAATCAGAGAACTCAACAGTTCATCTCTTCCTGTTTTTCAACATGATTGAAAACACAACTCCCTTTTCCTTTCCTCATTTTCCAGGAGGGGGAGAGAAAAGTACCTCAAGCTCAGCTTCAAGCTCCTCCCGCTCATGTCCAGTAGCAATAGGCATTACATCCTCAACTCTCTTCTTTACAGTCCCATCCACTACAAAACCAGACAACTCTTCATCATTTATTATTTAATTTCAATTTCCACAAAACGCATACAGACCATAAATGATGCAGATAATATACAATCAAAATTAAAAAGCAGCATCATTTATCACAAATCTATTCCAATTCAATCTAATTGCAGGCATATAAATTAAAATTTAGAAAAATTATAGAAACTCATAGGTTAAAAATAAATCTCATCTCCTAACAAATATCTAAACAAAATTAGCATCGAGTCAAATACTAACCACACAAAAAACTACAATCACGAAGATCTAGGAGTTTAATTGTGTAGGTGAAGATCTAAGAGGAGACTGTAATAGACTACACTAAGTCTAGAGAGAGAGGACCTGAATCGGCGCTAAAATAGCGATTGCAAAGAAACGCGGAAGGAGATCTATTGATGATCGATCTATTGAGGAGTACGAAATGAGTGGATCGGACGGAGGTGGAGGTGGAGCCTCTGGAGGTGGCTAGGGTTTTGAGGTGCGAAGAGGCTAGTCTTCTCCACATTCTTTCCTTTTTTCTGGATGTGTTCTCGTTTTGATCTGAGGTCACACCCTGTTTTGTTATCTGCTACTTTTCTTTTTACTGCTGCTACTAATTATTTTTTCCAGTGAAAGAAAGAACGAAGGAAAGAAAATGAGGAACGAATGAAATGAAATGAAAAGAAGGACAAGCAAGGAATGGCCAAATTGGAAAATGGGGTGGCGCTGGGGTTCAGCGTACGAAGCGAGGCGTGTGCGCGGAGTGTGGATTCAGTTTGCACGTGACACATTTCCCCACGTGCGTAACTTGGTTTTTCCTTTTCTTTTTCTTTTTCTACTTTTTTAGTTTTTTAAAAAATTCCATATATATATTTGAGCCATTTTTTAAAAAAATACTGTTGCCGGAGGTTTTTTGTGTGATTTCTCTAATTGATGGAAGCAGTTAGATTGGCAACGTTATGGAAGAGATTAAAAAGGAGTTTGGGATTGGTACAATTGGTTTTGAGAAAAATAGAGTATTTTTTAAAAATCTTCACTTTGTTTTTTATTTTTCAAGAATTTCCACTTTAAGAAAAAAGATTAAGTAAGATTATTTTCGAGAAAAAGGATTAATAAAGTTAGTTTTTATTGGTGTTATTTCCAACACGTAAGTTGTTAATCCTATTTATTATATTCAAATATGTCACAAGTAGTAAATTATCTAATGGAATATAATGAAGCCAATATAATCTATTTGCATGAAATCAAAAATAGAATTAAAGCGGAATTAACGATTGTTTGGGATGGAAATAACCCCATCTTATTCCCGAAGTTTATTTATTTATTTTTGTCGAGGGAAGCAAAGTAGCGAACCATATATTTTAGTGGGCCCATACGAAATGGCCTATAACCTTAGCCCATAAAGAAAATACATTAAAGTTTCTTGTTTCCTGAAAAACCTCCAGCAATAAATTTCTCAATATATCCTTATGCAAATCTTCAAGAAATCTTTACATTTCTAATTGTATCTATTATATCCTTGAGTGATATTTAATTTTTTCTATTTTTCTAATTTTCGATCCAAATTTACATAATTATATTTCTTATTCTGAAAATCCCTTCAACTATACAATAAATATAATTTTAATTTAAAAAAATAAAATTTTATTTCTTAAAAAAATAATGGTGGAGTGGTTTTGATTTTTTTTTATTTCTTAAAATATTTTGAACAATTTTTCTATTGCATCCTTATATAACTTAAGAATATTTTTGGAATAAAAAAAATATAATTTTGTCAATTTAGAAGAAAAAATTTAACATAACGACACATTATAGAATTACATACTATATAAAGATATAATAAATATAATTAAAAACATAAAAACATATCATAGACTTGTAAAATTATATAAGGAAAAATAAAATCATTTATCATTATATATATTTAAATGCATGTATTGATTTTAAAAAAAATAAAAAGAAAAATAGTAAAATAATTAATTAATTGGGTGAGTTTTTACATTTATGTTATTCATTAGTTAGGGTTTTCGAAGCTGCAATCGTTGCTTAAAATTAAACCCTAACTAATGAGTAAGAAAACTATAAACTCACATAATTAATTAAATAATTAGTTTTATTGGTTTTTTTTTAATTTCTTGGTGAAAAACAAAAAATATTAGAAAGTGGCAAAAGGATGGTTATTTCAAACACATAGACCAATTTGTATTGGAGATAACTAAAATCTTAACTGATTTGCAATAAAAGTTTACAAAAGTACTTGAGTGATCAAATTTATGAGTATAATATATAAGGACTCGTATAAAAAAAATCATAAAACACAATTAAGTACTTTATTAAAAAAATAAAATATAAAATATATTAAAATAATATTAACCTTAGCTCACCCATGGAAGAGGTAACTGTCATGTCAATATTCTGATAACAAACTAACAAATGTCCTTAGTTGATCAAATCCTATGAATATAAATACTTAAATAAAAAATAATAATACAAGTATTTCAAATACTATTATCTCATAACCAAACACAGGGACGGGATCTGCGACTCTGTCGCCAACAATCATCCCTTGAGCTTCATTGGATAAGAAGATGCCCCTCCTCTCTTGAATTATGTAACAGCCTTCCAAATTAATTAAGTGATTAAAATTTCTTATATGTAACTTTGGATCCAACACATTGTCAGCTTTAAGCGCTTTATTTGATGGTTTGATGATTTGGCTTTCAAAACCCAAGTTTTGAATTGATAAATTTATTAAATTCTTTTGATTTTTCAAGTTGATGTGAAGTGTATATTTAAAATTATTTGAAATTTTTTTATCTTAATTAATATATAAATTGATCTAAAAATATTTATATCATAAATCGAAAATAAATATTATCAAATTATATTGTTATTTTGCTTAATAAACTAAAAATTAAAAAAAAACTAAATTATATGGAAATAACTTCAACTCTTGATTAAACTCATGTGTATCTTTAATTTTTTAAAAATATATTGGACTATAATGAATTTTTTTTTAATAAATAATTGATCTCTTTTATTATTTTCTCCAATGTTAACTACAACTGAAAATGTGACATTATGTGAACTACATGTGACAATGTGATACTATGCGAAGGTTTGAAAAATTGACGCTTGACCATCTAATTAGATCACCCTTTACACGCAGGCTTTCTGTTTCTCTCTTTAAAAAAAAAATAATAATAATAAACGGAGAAAATTATGAATTCAAATAAATGTCAGGATCATATTAAAAGCGTAACGACTCTCATTTCTCTCACAAAAAAATGCAGTCCTTATCTTTTGTCGTCTCTTCAAAACACAAAAGCCAGCGGTGAATTTGATGTAAAAGAATATCTTCATCTAAAAACTTAAAATTTTAGGTAAGATTTAAAAAGTAATTTTATATTATTTTTTAATATAGTTTTTAAAATACAAAATCTTGGAATTTGAAATTTATATAAATCCATAATATTTTATACTTAATTAATTAAAAAATGATGAGATTCGAGAGGAAGAGGAAGAGAGGGACTGCGTTTTTGGGAGAGAGAAACGAGAGTGCTTCTGCAATTAACGTATTTCTGATGTTTATTTTATTTTCTAAAAAAGAGGGAAACAGCACCGATAGGTTGATCACATGTTAATTTTTCAAGCCATCTATGTCATGTCAAAAAATAAATAAATAAACTATTTTTTTATTAAAAAACGGTTGAAGATAGTCAAATAATTTCTTTTTAAAGGTTGGATGTATATGAATTTGATTATAGTTAAGAGTATTTTCATATAATTTAACTTTTTCAAAAATCTACTTTTTACATATTGAGTTTGGTAAATATCCGAACGTTTTTTTAAATTATAAAATCAATTACTAAATATTCTTAAAGGGTCAGAGAAAATTATTAAGCATCAACATTTCTGGTACTGAGACTAATGATAATTATATGATATAATTGAGCAGCTGGAAGCTTGGAACAACAACATTTCTAACTCAGATGATCAACTTTCTGTCTCTGTCTTCTACTTTTGACTCTTGATCTTTTACATCCTCCTATTTTCGCCTTGTAATGCCTGATTCTTCTTAAATTTTGGTTCAATGCATAAACGATTCTGCCAACTTAATTACTCTCGCATTCCTTGCTCATAGAATCGTAAGAAACCCCTGAAACAAGAACGATGGTAAGAAAATTATGAACATGGCAAATTAACTGGAAAACAAATTTATTATATGGAAAAAGAAAAGGGAAACGAGAAGCAGAAGCTGACAACACATATGTATGCTACCAGTTTGGACATTTGGCTGCTTGCGAGTTGAAAACTCAGAACTAATTGTTCTGCGACATACATACCTCTTCCTTTTTGTTCTAATGGCACATAACAATGGAAGTCATTGAAACCAGATCCCGAGATACTTTAATTTATACCTCACTATAAGGCAACCAAAAAGAGCTGTCCGTGATAACTGACAAAAATGGGGAAGAGATTTATGTAAGATGTTGAAGGAAATCTGAAGAGCAGATGATTTTCGATCATTACCTGCTTGGGTCAGAAATGACCAGCGTAAGTAGTTACTCGAGTATGGTGATAATTAACAAGTGCAAAGGGGTCAGAAAGATCTGAAAAAAGTCAATAGCAGTACAATATCACAGCAACATTACCTATATGGCCTGAAAGTAGCTACCATTTGCATCTTCATATTGTTGCATTCAATACTGTTGATTCTTTTTATTCCTAAACACCAGATTTTCAACTTGTTGGGCTCAAACTTTAAGGTTCATGGTTGATTAAAGCTTCAGCTCCTGAAGCGGGCAAGGTGAAATTTAAGAACTCAAAGTATCAATGCTGCCGATTAGCAACGCATGGAGATGCAAGTGGTAGACATCTTCAAAACGGATATGAAATGTGACTGTTTAGTTGAACAGATATTTACTTGTTCATCTTAATTAATATTTTGAGAAGTGGTCTCACTGAAATCCAAGGGAAAAAAAAAGTGGCAACTATATAAAAAAAAAAACGGATACTTGTTCTGGATAATCTGAAATTAACTTCAGGAAACAATAACTAGAAGTTGAATTTTCAATGGGTTAGGAAACAAGAAAGCCTTTAATGTGTGGTTGATTGTCTAACATAGAGAAAAAAATATTTCAAACAAGAATTGCAGTGAAAACTCCATGGACTTAATGATAATATTTCAGAAATGATAATAATAATAAAGATCGTTTTCAATTTTGAAAAGTTCGATATTGGAGATAGATGGCATTTTCCATGATGGGGTTAAATATTTTTAATAACATGACAGGTGAGTTTTGCAGGGTTCAGAGTAATTTATTAAGGGCCAAAAATTACTCCTGAAAATAAACTGTTTTGCAACATAACTTTTTTGGTACAATTGAACTATAGACATGGCGTGGGTTTGGCGTAATGACAAAATTTACCTCTATTTTATTATAATTCACAATTTCATATTTTTATTATCAATTTATATAATTTAAACAGCTTTAAATATTGATTTTTAAATAAATTTTATCTAAATCGTATTTTCTTCATTATTTATAATGGTCAATCTAGTTTATCCTTTTTTTCTACTATTAATTTTTTTTAAAACATTAAAAACGATTTTCTTCTATTTTTCAAAAAAATTCTTTTTATTTAAAATTTTTACATACTAATCCCTTTGATTTTTCATAGTCAATCAATTGTTATTTGTATATAATTTTTTTCAATTTTAAAAAACAACTTTTATGTAGTATCATTATCTTTTAAAACAATCAACTTCTATAATTAATAAAATATAAATATTTATTAGTTGAATTTGATCAATTAAAATTATTAAATATTTTTTTTGTCATGTTAATAAATTTATTTTTGTGATTGTCAATCATTAAATTTTAAATATAACTGTATTTTCTAATATTTTTTTATCTTCACATATTTTATAGGATTTTGTATTGACCATTATAATTTTTGGTACATTTTGAATAAAATTTACCAAAAAAAATCAATATTTTAAACTTCAAATTATGCAAATTGATAATTAAAAAAAAAATGAATTTTTGCCATTAAGCTGCATGGGTTTTAAATCTTTCTCACTCCGAGTGAAAAAAATCATCCCACTGGAAGTCACTTGAAGAAGGAACCAGATCCAAGGATTGTTAATACCTCACTAAAAGCTCCAAGTTAAATTTTTGATGTTGATTGAAAAATAAAAAAACAAATCAAGGACAAAAATTAAGAACGCAACCCTACATATCTAATGGTACATTTTAAAAAATTTAATAAAAATACAAAATAATTACTCGAGGCTTTCAAAGTCAAGTATTCAGGGAATTCATATTGTACGTATTTCTCCATGCTCCTGTCATCCTGGATTACAAGGCAAAACATCTACACCGATCTAACTAAAACAGTGCAGTAATAATTATTAATTAGTGGACATCCTCAAAGTGAGGGGTAGCAATCTTTGAAAGGTTACAATCCCAAAACAAGTGTTACAAAATGATAGGCAACTTAGAAAAACATTTCCATTCAAGACAGCTAGATCAAACCAAGCGGAGCAGCTCGAGCATTTTAAAATTTTGTGACAACCATGTAATGTTCTCACCAGGAGCTTAATTCTAAATTTCTTTGCCTCTTACCTACTGAGAGTACAGCCTGTATCAGTAATCCAAAATTTACCATTGATCATATCAAAACGCATCCTCTTCCTCCTTGCCTCAGAAGATGTTTTGCAGGAAGCTTCTTAGGTCAGGTGATCAACCTTTTGTCTTTGCCTTCTAGTTTTTGGCTCCAAGTCTTCATCTTGATTCCATTTTCTCCTTAAATTATCTAAATCTTCTTCGTTCGGCTGGCCGTTCAATTTTTGGTTTAATGCATAAGCTTCTGCCAACTTACTCTTGCACTCCTTGCTTGCAGAATCATGAGATACCACTGAAGCAAGCGAGAGGGTGAAAATAAGTAATAACTCCCAACTACATGCAAATTCTTGGCAAATCAATTGGAAACAAAACACTGATGAGGTATAGACTACGGGTTTGGGCATTTAGCTTACTAGTGGCAACTTCAAAACGAACCGTGCAACAATGTGGCACTCTTTTGTTCCAATTGCGCATAGTAATGGATGGTTTATAACAAAGTATAAGGCACAATAAATGACAGACAACCTACCTGGTTTTGGATAATCTCTTCCGATTATGCACTTTGCTTTTCTTTGAATGCTTGGTGGAGCTGTCCATGGCTCATAGATGTACTCCTTTGGCATATCTGACCAATTGGCATTTGTATAATTATTAAATACACAACAACTTACACTCAGCCAAAAGAATAAAATGACAAGATTAGGAACTCCAGATTACCTTTCAATACTGGAAGAAAATGTCTTATATAATTACCATTTGGGTCATACTTCTTCCCAAATGATATCGGTGAGTAGATTCGATTATACTGTCACCAGAAAAACCACAAAAAAAAAATTAGAAAGATAGAATCCATCAAATTGTGAAACACAGCAGTAATTTTTTGAAGGAGAAAAAGGAAACCAGCAGTCAAGCTCAATTCAGGCAAATGCAGGCAGTAGATAAATGATTAGGGAACAAATCAACCAGTCCTTAGTGTAAGAAATAAGGAAGATTATGTGATTTTCAGTCACTTTATTCCACCATGTAATATTATCAGATGAAATCTTTAGAATATTGCAAGGAAAAATGATGAAATCAGAAGATTCAAAATTATCAAATGAGATAATCATGCCCTATAATAGTTTGATAACTGATTTTTTTCTGAAACACCACTAAACATGAGAAGGTCCAATGCTATCTTGGAGGCTTGGAATGATGCAAGTCACTACCAACCAATCAGTGATGATATCATCAAAACTTGTATATATTCCTCTGCATACCTGGTAAAAGAAGGATGAACATGATAGCCATAGCCAATTTCCATTATTAACTGCCCAATCTGAATCAATCAGAAGTCTCTCAAAAACATCACGTCCTTTTTCCCAATGAAGAAACTATAAGCAGTAACGACTCGAATCAGTAACAGAGGATATTAAAGAAGAAAGGATGATATTGGTAATATACCAGATCTCCGCGAGTGAGAAAACATGCAACAGAATGCCGCGCTAGATGGTGCATCCAACCCCACTTGCGGAGCTACAAGAATGATGCATGCATATTACTTCCAGTGAGTTTGCTAAGCATCGAATCAATACACTTGTTTTGGCATATAAATTGAAAAGCTGAACAATTAGTAGTTTTACAACAAACCTAACCTGGACCATGATAGCATCAATCCAAGGGTATCCTGTCCTAGCTTCCCTCCAAGCTGCTAGCAATTCATCATCATCATTCCATGGTATCTATAATGCCCCATAGTTATTAAGTCATGGCCTTGCATAAGAGAGGGATACATGTAAACAAAAAAATTTAAATGAAGACAGCAGATAGTGTTTCATTGATTGACTTTCAAATATATAAGAAGTTAAAGGAATCTCTAAGCAATAGCCCCTCATAATAATACTCAACAAAATCAACTATAAGTAAGTTCCAAATTACCAAAACTTCATTCAAAGAGGGTCTTCTTGGAGAAAAAAATTAAATAGTACCATGGCATTAAACAAACATCAGCATCTGTAGCCCTTGTAGAAGAAAAAGAAACTAACTCCTTTTAATTTGCAACATACAAAACAAGAAAGAAACTCGTAGAAGAGATATATAGAAGTTATGAGAGATATATAGAAGTTATGTAATATAGCGTTCATGATGATTGGTGTTTACCTGCTTGCATATCCTATTGCCCTTCATCCGATCAAAATTGGGAGTGCCAAAAGCCACAGTGTAGAAAAAATCTCGCCATAACAACTGCAGGAATTCGACTCTAAATTTTAGTTTAGTGGCATGTGCAACAAGCATTAGAAAAGATTGATGGATTTGAACGGACCTGGCCTGCAAGAGACACAGGTGGTGATGTATGCTTCTGTACATTTTTATAGACATCTTGAAGGCATTGATAGAAATACCTAGAAGACAGACAGCCAAACTGCCAAGGAGATTAAAACAATAGCAACAAAAATGAAAAATGACAAAGGCCTTGTCGATAACCTGTGTGTTTTAGTTAGAATTTTCTAGCTGCATCTTACAACTCGTGACAGGTAAAATAAATTTAATGACCAAAAAAAGTCATTCTATTGGCAAATCACCTTCAAGTATGGTGATAACACAGTCGTCGCTGGTTTTACAAATGCAGAAGGGTCGCCCTTAGGCTTCTCAAAATTTGCCACCCACTTCTGCAATACAAAGAAAAGGTAAGCAGCATAAATGCTGCCACTAGATACTACAAGACAGAAACTAAGACACAACAGTTACAATTTAAGGAACATGTGACTACTGTTGACTTCAATAAAACCACATAAAATTTCATGACCCGAAAAGGGCAAACTTATCAAATAGTAATGTTAAAAATCAATCCAAACTTGTGGCATATTAACGCAAGGAAATTACAAATCCAATAAGAAACTTCTTCAGAAACTTCCTCTACTTACATGAATATATCATTAGTTGATAATCATAATCTCAACTCAAGTAAACCACAATCCCAAATTAGTTGGGATTGGCTAAGCAGTATAAGCTGATTCTAAAAAATTAACCGAACTTGAGGAAAACATACATTGAACATGTACAAGCAAACTCAGGTTGTTGTTTACAAAACCTTGAATGAATAATTGGATTGCAAAAACCAGGGTAAAAAAACATTACGATTACTATAACACTAAAATAGGTTTGGGCGGGGGAGGGGGTTTGAACTTAAACAGTGGAAATCACTGTTCACCCCCTCACAAATCACTGTTCATTATTGTAATTAAGGGTTTTTTTTTTTCTCAAGCTGTTTCACTATACATGCTTTTTCTTTTTTTCTTTTTTTCCTTTGCTTTTTTTCATTAATTTAGGTTCTTGTTTTACTTAATTTTTTTTTTTAATTTTCAAGTTGTCTCATTTTGGTCTCTAAAATTTCAAAATAAAAATTTTAATCCCCTAGTTGATGCAATACACATGCCTTGTTTTTTCTTTGCTTTTTTTCCATTAATTTAAGGTTTTTTATATTTAATTAGGTGTTAAAATTTTAAAAAATCAATCGTTATTTTTTTCACACAAATTGATAATTATATAATATATATGATATTTTTTACATTTATACGATATATTTTTTTATTTTAGAATAAATATAAACTACTATTATTGTTTAAAATTGATTTTTTCGATAAAAACTCTCATCGATTTATTTTTTATTCTTTTTTTATATAATTTTATTTATTAATAAATATAATTTATTTTCTCTACGCATAGATTCGAACAAGGTTTTTTTTATACCTTTTTTTATTTGCTTAATTCTCATATAACAAAGTTTTAAAAATTGAATCTATTTATTTTATTTTCTTATTTTTTATATAATTAAATTTTATCGAAATCAGTTTTATAGTTTTTATTACACTCTATTAACTTCGATATATATTTTACCATTTAATTTTTAAAATAATTTTTAATTTATTTTATACATCATACATTCTCGCCTATTGAGTACGGTCATAATGTATAAAAAATAAAAACATTAGAGTCATTGATTTTATTAGAAATCAACAATACATCTACACTCAAAATACCAACTATTTGCTATTACTTTTTTAATATTTAAAATGATCTTTTTCAAATAAAATAATGAAAATAATATTTTAGAATAACCACTTGATAATTCAAATACAATTTTATATACTAATATTATTCATTATTTTATAAATAAACATATATAAATCAAATGTAGATATTTAAAAAAAATAATCCTCTCATTAGTAAAAAAGTTTCATTTGTTAATTTTCATACAAGTTTTTATATTAATTATTGTTTCATTTCTTCATTGCAACCTAATAAAAAAATATTAAAATGTTTTTTAAAAAATTTTATATTAAAATTTGTTTATTATGGGTTTTTATTTAATAATAAACGCATAAAAAAGAATAAATCATATTTTTTTACTTCAAAATTTATTCAAAACATAATATATATATATATATATATATATATATATATATATATATATATATATATATATATATATATATATATACAAATTTTAATTAAAAATTATAAAATTAGATGAAATTTCATCTTTTATATTTAATTTAATATATTTTAAGTAACTGATATTATAGTATATGTTATCAAACTGAAATAAATATGTTTAATTTGATTCATTACGTAGCACGAGAATGTAAACTGTTCATATTTAAAATTTTTATTCACTTACTATTTATATACATAAAATTACTATTCACTTTATGGCAATTTAAGTAATTTTTATGTGTGATTTTTTTTGTGTTTGTAGGCATTAATATGCAAATTTAACACTTTTTTCTATTTTTCATCCGTCATGTTGTAACATTTTTTTCTATCCTTAGTTTTCATTTTTCTTTCATTTTATCATTTAAATTTCATTATTTGAATTTATCATTTTTTATATAAAATTTTATTTACTAATAAATATAATTTATTTTTCTCTATATTTGAATTTTAGAATAAAATTTTAAAACATAATTATTTTTTTAAAAAATAAATAAATTGGTATAATTTATATATCATGAATTCTTAGAATTTTTAATGATAGTTTTATATATATAAATATATAATTATTTTATTCTAAAAGATTAAAAGTGTATTTTAAATAATTTATCTCGATTCACTAAATATGATCAAAACATATAAAAAAACTATTGAATCATTGATTTATTAAAAATTAACTATACATTTTTCAATATAATATAAATTGTTTACTATGGATATTGTTTTAACATTACAAAACCAATTTATTTGAAATAAAATAATTAAAATAATTTTTTAAAGAAACCAACCAATTATTCGAATACATTTTTTATGTTAATTTTATTGATTATTTTGTAAATAAATATATATAGATCTAATGCATATACTTGAAAAAAAAAATAATCTTCTCACCAACATTAAATAAGAATAAAATCTTATTTTTCATTGGTTAATTTTTATGTAAGTCTATACATTAATTGTAATTTTATTTTTTAGATACATTCTTATAAAAAAATAATTTTAAAATGTTTTTTTTTAATTCTTAATTAATATTTCATATTTAAATTATTACAAGTTTTTATTTAATAACCCCTGAATAAAGAAAAATAAATCATGCTTTTTTAAATAGAAATTTTATGAAAAAATAATAATAATGAAATAAAAAAATATAAAAAGTTTTAAATAATTTTGTTTTATCTATCCGTTGCACGGATAATTTCAAAAATTAATCTTCTCATCAATATTAAATGAGAATTTTTTTTTCATTTGTTAATTTTTGTAAAAGTATATCCACTAATTATAATTTTATTTTTTGGAGTACAATATTATAAAAATTATATTTTTAAAGTTTTTTTTAATTATTGACTAATATTTTATTTAAAATTATTATAATTTTTTATTTTAAAATCAATTCATAAAAAAGAATGATTTATGTTTTTGTTTAAACAAAAAATTTATAAAAAAACATTAAAAATTTTAATTAAATAAAAAGTTATGATTAAAAATGATTTTTTTCTACTGAATCCGTAACGTAGCATGGGCAACAGATTAGTGGAAACTAAATCAGCTAGTCAAGAAGGCTGAATCCGTAAAGTAGCACAGGCAACTGATTAGTGGAAACTAAATCAGCTACTCAAGAAGGCAAAAACCTCGTGGGGGATACAACAGCGTACCTCATCATTGACCGATTCTTTCAATCTCTTCAATGCTTCTGATTCACCACCTCTGAAAAGAGTCCGTTCCTTCAAACAAGTTCTTATTTATCAAAAGTCAAAAAAAAAAAAATTGGGACAACCTTAGTGCATTGGTAAATTTATACCTGTTCAATGTCTTCATACCCAAGGTCTTCGATCGTTGGAACTTCTGAAATCTCACAGCTTCCAAAATCTCCAATGGGAGGAAGTGAGGCTAGCGAGGTTAAAAGTGGTGATGATGCCCATGAAGGTTGTCCAGCAAGCTTTAGAAATGATTGGTAAGTCGATGGCGGCTTTCCTCCGTTCTTTTTTTGGACATGAACCATTGCAACAAAAAAAAGTAAACAATACTTTTAGCCATACTATTTGGGGCTCAGTGCAATTGTAAAAGAAGCACATATATATAAACTCTACATCAGTAAAAAAGATTATGTTAGTGAATACAACAAAGGCACTTCTAACCTACCCTTTGTATGATCTCTGCTGGATTGAAGAGTGTATGACTGACAGGTGAAAAAACTTCAATCCCTGCTGCAGAGGCATAATCCTGTACGAACACAGATGATTCAGCCCTCCTATCAGCTGGCATAGACTACTTAGGCACATACTCATACGAACTATTTAGCAATTTATCTCTCCCTACACGTGAACTTCTTATTTAATATATTCACACAACATCCATCCATTCATAGAGCCAACATTGGATTTACTTGAGGTTGGGCCTCTCTCGGGTGGAAAAAATTGAACTTCAAATTCGAAATTTTGACATAATAAAGGAACATTTAAAACCATTAAGAATGTTTCAGAGATTGTAAAAATGGAAACTACGAAAAGAAAAATTCTTAAACTGTTAAGGATGCTAAAAGATAATTTCAAAAAACTAACTAAAACATATCCTGGCTTGCTGCTTTATTAGCCAAGTATAAACAGAGCCTAGTTCTTTTTGGGTGCATGAAAAGTGCGTAGAATTTCGTCGACAAATGCAATTTGTAATGCGCTAAAAAACATCTGACTGAGTTATAACAACGTTAAAAACACGGATATATAGAGAGAATATAGTACAGTACCTTAACTTAAATGTCTAAATATTGATAATATATAGCAATGTCATACTCCCAAATTCTTTGCTTTTTTCTCTTTCTTGTTTGCAAGATGGCTTCTCAAACTGTTGATATATCAGCAAGTTTATGATGGTACAATACAATAAATGAGTATCATGCACAATTTGAATGTGACTGATAAATGGGACAGTCGCATTTATATGTACCACTCAGTAACCATGATCTCTACATTCTCAGATCAACATTAGTGAACGGTACGAATAAAGCTTTAATGCCCTAATTATCGCGACCACATTCAGACCATACATGAATCTTAGTTGTTTTGTAGTGCCAACTTGTTGATCTTGATTACCAGGTTAAAAAACCCAGCTCACTAAAATTCATGAAAAAAAAATAGTAACAACATATTAAATAAAAAAAACAGATGAGAAATAACATTATTACCTTAACTTTAATATCTAAAGCTTGATAATATGGATCACTATCATACTCGAAGCAAAGCTTTTTCACACCCCATTCTTTCAAGCACCGAATCAAAACTTGACTAGGCTCTCCTTTTATGATCAACAGCCTTGAACCCATCTTCTTGAGGCTCGTATCTAGATCTACTAAACTCTCTAACAAGAACCGAATTCGGTTCAGGCCTGCAAGCCTTGACCCTGGAGAGAAAGCTTTTGGATCCGGCTCCATGTAATGCGGGTCAATCACAAAAACTAGATAAACGAAATTAGACCCCTTGGAAGCATATTCTAGGGCTGGGTTGTCATGGATTCGAAGCCCCTTCCTAAACCACATAATGGAACCCGACCCGGATGCAGCCATTAGAGGGTTCTTCAAGTTTTGAACAGGTTTAGACAAACAAAGTGATACTTGCATTGCAAGTGTCGGAAAGTTGGAGTGAGAGAGGTTTAAATTGAATTGGATGATGTGGACTGGCTAACGTGCGCTTGGGCATAGCATAAGGAGAGTAATGGTGGATTTTGCTGAGGGGAGGCCTGGCTAGTCTGCCGTATACGCACTGCGTGCAAGTTAGAGAAAACTGGGGGAAGTTGTGGTGAGCGGTTAATAAGGCGCCACGTTCTGGTTTTGAAAAGCGGTAGGGAAAGGCGCTCTTTTTTCTTAAACTATTTTCATCGAAGGAAACAAATTGGACCAGTTAAGGCCACACTCGCCCTGAGCTTCTATTTTTATTGCGCTTTCAAGCTCACTTTCTGAACTCTAACCTATACGGGCTTTGGATTTTCGGCCTTCTCAGAATTTATAAAAAAGAAAAAAAATCAAACATTACCTATCTTTTTTTTTTTTTTTTTTCGTTTTGGTATAACATGAGCCATCATTTCCATGTTTAAAATAAGGGTCTTACCCATATTTGGACCATGCATAGTTTTAATTTTTTTATATTTTAAAATTAACATATATTTAAGATTATATTATTCTTATTTTTTGAATTTGTTATTTTTTTTATAAAAATTCTCATCCAATTAATATTTTTTATATAAAATTTTATTTAGTGATAAATATGATTAATTTTTCTCTAAATTTTAATTTTTAGAATAAAATTTTAAAACCCGATTGTTTTTTTCTTTTTTACAAAATAAATTGATATAATATATATCATGAATTCTTTTAATTTTTAAATTATAGTTGCATATATATATAATTATTTTGATCTAAGAGATTAAAATTATATTTCAAATAATTTGTCTCGATCTACTAAGTATGGTAAAGACGTATAAAAAAAATTATTGAATCATCGATTTTATTAAAAATTAATTATACATCTTTACTCATAACACCAACTATTTATTATGAATATTTTTTTTAACATTATATAATCAATTTCTTTGAAATAAAATAATTTTTTAAAGAAACCAACCAATTATTCAAATATAATTTTTTATGTTTAAATTATTGATTATTTTGTAAATAAATATATATAGATCAAATACATATATTTTCAAAAATTAATCTTCTCATTAGCATCAAATAAGAATAATTTTTTCATTAGTTAATTTTTATATAAATATATACATTAATTATACGTTTATTTTTTGAATACGTTCTTATGAAAACATTTATTTTTAAAATATTTTTTAATTCTTGATTATTATTTCAGTTTAAATTATTATAAGTTCTTATTCAAGAATCAATGCATGACAAGGAATAAATCATGTTTTTTTAAGTAGAAAATTTATGAAAGACATAAAAAAATTAATGAAAAATTATAAAATTTTAAAATGATTTTATTTTGCTCGGTCTGCAGGATAATGTATGCAAAAGGCTGATGATTTTTCTATTCTTTTTATAATCATTTTTTTGGAGTGGTTTCGTGTATTTAATTTATCCTTGTTGTTGAATACATGCATCTATAAATATTACATGAACAATACTTTATGGACGATATATATGCTTAATTTTATTATCCAATCATTAATGTGCCAAGTTTAGGACTTAATTATTTTAAAGTCAAATTATTACATGGTGAATTATAGGAAAAATAGACTATATATGCTCCATTGTAGTATCAAATAAGAAATTACAAAAAAAAAAAAAGGGGGGTACGGAGGTGGACATTAAGGACGTCCTTGATCTTTTATGGAGTTGTTGCTAAATTTGTTATTTTTATTATAAAATTAATAATAACAATAAAAGAAAGTAATGATAATAGTAAAGAATTAAAGAGAAAGATGCTTGAAGAGAGTTAGAGAAAAATATAATAGAAAACTAAATTGTATTTTTTTTTTACTTAACACACCTATTTATAGATGAATGTTACATAAAATTATAGATTAAAAATTTAATGGGGAATATTGAATCACGAGAGAAGAATATGAATAGTACATTTATGTATATTTATTCATTACATGAACGATACATTCATGTATATAAATATTTATTTATATATATAAATATTTATTTATATATATAAATGGTATATAGACATTCATTCATTATTTTATAACACTTCTCCTTGAATGTCTATCGTATAAAAAATATGTCTTGTTAAAACCCTATTAATGGAAAAAAAATCTTAATGAAGAAAAAAGAATATAATATTTCTTATATATATTAATTCTCATGTTGGACTCCCTCTATTGAAAACATTATTGAAGATCTCTAAAATGAGCCATCTCAATCTTAGGAACTATTTTCTAATTTTACAATAAGTAATGTCTTAGTGAATAAATTTATTGGATTGATCAAATTTGTTGAACATTGATATCACAATTCCGTTGAAGATCGCGTGTGAAAAATAATTTTAGTAATATATGTTTTGTTTTGTCCCTCTTAATGTGTCATTCTTTCAATTGAGTTATGCAAGCATTATTAACTGGTAGATAAACCGTATGTTTCTCGTATATAGTGGGTCACCGATTTAGCTAAATATATTTTATACTTGCCTCGTAAATTGCTAGTATTTCAACATAGTTTGAGGATATAGCAACTATAATTTGTTTCACAAAACATCATGATATAGTTGTATCACCATGTGTAAATACATAACTAGTTTGCAAGATTTACATGGATCGGATAAATAACTTGCATCTATATAGCCAATTAAACTCGACTTTGATTTATTTGAGTAAAATTAATACTATATTGATTTTTTTAAAGATAACACGGTGTATATTTAATTTCATTTCAATATCTCTATATTGGAGTAAAACTATGTCTTGCTAATAAATTACATAAAATACTATATTAAATCGAGTATTATTAGCAAGATATATCAATGCATCAATTGCACTAAGACATGATACTTCATAACCAAGTAGTTCTTTATTATCTTTTCGAAGTCGAAAAGAGTTCTTTTGGATATCAAGTGATCGAACTATCATTAGGCTAGTCAATGGACGAGTCTTATCCATATAAAATTTTTGTAAAAAAAAATTATATATAAGTTGACTCGATGAATAAAAATCTCATCCTCTAAGTGCTTAAATTGTAAGCCAAGCTAAAATTTTGTTTTTCCAAGGTCTTTCATATCAAATTTTCTTTTTTTAGATAACTTATACCACTTTGAGTCTCTTTAGGAGTTCTAATAATATTTAAATCATCGATAGAGATGACAATTATCACAAATCCTTTTTTAGATTTATTTATAAAACCATACGAACATGTATGGTCATTTTTATATTTTAACAACTATTCACTAATACAATGATACCACATGCTCCTAAATTAGTGATAAAGAGTCCACAAACATAAAAAAATATAGCATAAATGAAAATTTAAAAAGTAAAGTAATAAAATAAATATTAAAATAGTTCTTATAGAGATCTTTATAATTTAATTGAATATATTTTTTAGAAATGTACATTACATGTTTTAGGCCTTTTAAGTCCTTCTAAAACTTTTATATAGATATATTTTTTTTTCAAATGAACTATACAAAAAAACTATAATTACATCTATTAAATACACAATGTAAAATATTTTCATAGCTCAATTTTTCGAATGTTATTTATAGTTTTTCCAATATTAGGAGGGAGAATGAGTAAAATAAGTAGTTAAAAATGTTGAAAAAAGCGATCACATGAAGTGCTCTGTCTTTATATCATCTTGATCCTTGCACAAAACAATATAAATTAGAAGTTCGGAAGATGATTCATTTATAAAGTTTTGCAAAACAACCGTCAAATGCATTCTCATATCAAAAAAGAGTAACTAAAATGCATTTGTCAATTAAAAATGCTCTTATAAAAATTGATGTCCTATAGTGATATTTTATTAATGTTATAGCAAATGAATCTTAAACACTCTTGAAGTGTGAAAAACTCGATCGGTTCTAAAGATAAAAATCCTCGAAAGAAAAGAGCAAATAATCAAAATAAAAATATAAAGAAGACAAATATTCACAAAAAAGTCTAATATATATATGATAATAGGCTTCCATGATAAGTCCGGATGCTTGAGGAAGATCAATATACTTTAATAAATTACGTCAATACAAGAAGAAAATGGAACCAAAAAGAAATGTTTATTGATAACATTTTTGCTTATAATATTGTAATTGATATTTTGATTAAAAATAAGGATCATGAGCCTAAATCTATTAAAAAATGTCAACATAGAGATGATTGGCCCAAATGAAAATATGCAATCTAGACAAAATTAAATTTCTTATGAAGCAAGTAGTTTTTTGACTCATTGTTAAAATACTTGAAAATTGTTAAACTAGTAGAATACAAACGAGTATTTATATAAAATAAATAAATAAGATGAAATTATGAGATACAAATCAAGACTCGTAACACAAGAGTTTTTACAAAGACTTGAAATTGACTATAATGAGACATATTTTAGTTCAACGTATTTAATTACGAAGGAGATTCATATCCAATGTTTATTCTTAATCTCCTTTGAAAACCTATTTGTTTCATTAGAGACGAGCACTAAGGATATATACCGCACATCTAAAAAGTTTTAGATGAAAAATATTCATGACCAAAAATCAATTGAAGAGGGGAGAGTTTCGATAATTTGTGGGTATAATGTGAATAAGTATTGCTTGTATTTAAAATTACATGTTCTCAAACATAAATAAGAAGTTTTGTTCTCATAAGAAATTGTCTAGCTATCAATTGGAGGCATTTGATAAATGATTTTTGAAAGCCGACATGAGTATAACATAAGCAACATGTTATTCAAATTTTATTTCAATAGCTTTGCAATAATCATTAAATGCTTGAGTAGTAAATTCACCAACATTGTCAAGCCAACTTGTTTCAATAACATAATTTAAAAATTATGCTCATAATCAAATTATATGAGTAAACAACCTTGAAAACGTCAAGTTTTGGGTTGATAATAAAAATACATGTGATTATCTTATAGATGCATCTATTAAAACTATATAAAAAACAGTTCATGTGGTGGATGAATTGATCCATAAACATCACTTTAAATACGTTTTAAGAATATGAGGTTCAATCCCTATTTTACTTAGTAGTGACTTAATAATCATTTTGCCTTAAGAGCGTACGAGAACATAAAAATTCATTAAAAATTGATGAATTTTCTAACTCTTAATTTTCAATAATTTTTTGTATTATAAAAGACACAAATTAACCCAATTGATCATGCCACACAATAAAAATATTTGAATTAGTAAACTTCGGTTTACTATAGCATTTGTTTCGAGTTATTTAAAAATTTATGTAATAAAAACTAGAAGAGAAAGCATATAATTTCTCCAATATATGTTTTTTTTACCCAATGTAATAGTTGTAACATATTAGTATTCAATATTTTCAACATTTGTGTATTTTGATATGATGTCCATTTAGACGAATATCTTTGAAGCTTGTAATTTTCTATAAGACTTTGGAAAGAATAATACATCATTTATAATAAAATTTGTTCCTTCGAGTAATAATATATTTACTTTTTCGAGCCTTTAATTGAATTAATTGTATTAGATATAATGTTAATTTTAGCTTCATCCATTATTAAACGAGAAAAATCCTTTTTATTTCTTAGTATAACATGCATTGTTGCCTATCTACAAGACATACATTCTCATATTTGATGTCCAAATCAATTATAGATCGAATTGGTAGTATCTATATATTCTTCATAAGTACGAAACAAATAAATATATAGCAAAAGAAATTTGTAATTATCATGATATAATAGAAAATATAAGAAAACATAAAATATCTTATTTATAAATAGAAAAGATAAAAGTCATTAATTTTAATTATCATCATTGATCTAATGATCTTTTCTTTTAGAATTTTCAAAAAAATCAACAACATCTAAATGTATCAAATCATCAAGACCATCAAGAGAAACATTGTCAAAAACATTATTTTGATTTATAAAATTCATCTTTATATTTTTCTCTTTCCTTTTCAATGAGGCTTGATAAAACTCAACGAGGTGTTTTAGCATACGATAGGTACACAACTAATGTTTCTTTATGCCATACCTATAACATTCATTTTCGAAATATTGACTTGATCTACTTTTTTTTTTTTTCCTTTTATAGTTTGTCCAATTTTGGTAGTAATTTATATTATTATGACCATCACAATTGCAAAATATTATAATCACGACTATAGCTATGGCCATGATCACGTCCACGACCAAATCCTCGTCCACAACCACATCCTCGTCCAATTTGTCACATTCACTTCGGGGAATGAAGTACAACCAACTGGACGAGATTCATGCTTTTTTTTTTTTTTATCAATAACTCCTTATTTTGGTCGACCACGAGCAAACATGAAATTAATTCGTAGTATTTATTAAAATGTTTTTCTCAATATTGTTGATCTAAGAGCATATTCGAGGCATGAAAAGTAGAAGATATTTTCTCAACGTCAAGCACCCATGATCAACAATTCTTGATTGAAATGTGAAAGGCCACAAAATCAAGTTTCGCAAAGTTTGATATGATAAAAATTATGCAATGCAAGATATAATAATAATGTTAACAAATAAGAACAAACATAATAATAAATTTAAGTTTTTCAAATAACATATATTAGATCATTCAAAATCTTGAAATGTATATGCTATGCATTGTTAAATTTAAAGTACGTGATATATTAAATACATACCTCTTAGTTATCTAAATAATTTATATTTTTTGGTAGAGCACTTGTGTAGAGAAACAATCCAATAATTGTAACATATGATTGAATTTTTTAGTATATACATATGTTATGGTCTATTATTTCGATTGATTAGAGTTTCATGCCGATAACATATGATAAAATTAACGATAACAATAAAAGAAGATAATGATAATAGTAAATAATCACCGAGAAAGGTTTTGGAGAGTTGGAGAGAAATATTATAAAAAAGTACTAACTTATACTTTTTCTTCACTTAACACACTTATTTATAGATAAATATTACAAAGAATTCTAGATTAGAGATTTAATGAGGAATAAATACATACATGTATTAATAACGGTGAATCGAATTATAAAGGAGAATATGAATTGTATATTTATGTATATTTATTTACATACATGAATGGTAAATGGACATTCATTCATTATTTCATAATAATTTTTATATTAATCTAATATTAATTTACTTTCTTACGGATATTGAACTTTTATTTTTATTCTTATTTGTGTAGAAAAAGACTAACAAATTGAATACTCCTGAAAGACACTCCCAATTTTCCAATAGCTTGTAATTTGTCCTTGAAAATATAAGGTCATTAGAAATATAGATAAGAGCGTTGTTGAAAATCATTTTTTTCTCGAGAATGAGCTTATTAAGAATTAAAAAAACAAGTTGTTTTTTAATAGAAGACCTAAGCAAAAATAAAAGGTTGTTTTAATAATAAATCAGAGATCAACTATAAATGAATTGATAGGTAGGAATATAAAAGATAGAGTTAAAACAAGGAATAAAAGAAAATGATAAATCAAATGCAACGATTGATTCGGGAAATAAGCTCATTGCAAGCCAATGCTTCTCCATTTATAGCAAAAACCCTAAGTAGCCAACAAAATCTCGTTTAATGTTAGATTTTTTTTAATTGGCAGTAAAAAAATAATTTAAAATCAGTTTGTAAATAAATCGAAACTAAATTTCATATTCGTACGAAAACACACTCTCCATATCGATGTATTGCACATATATAATTTTAATAAATTTTTGTAGATGATATTCTAAAAAAATATAAACAAGGAAGCATGTCTTCTTAACCATCGGTTTATCCTCGGCCTATAGGAGTTGATTCATTTTTATGGAAAATAATGCTCTCTTTGGTTTTTACTGCTTAACTGAAGGGAAAGTATAGAGGGAGGCGTTTATTCTAATAGTGAAATTTACATCCCTTGCTTCTAGCCTTCTAAAGTAGGTACGGTAAAGCTTGGCACGCTTGAACTGGATAAATTGCCTATTTTCAGAATTGTTTGCACGCATTGGAGGGTCTCCATTAAATAGAGACCAAAACATATAGACCAGACAAGACGGTGTAACATAAATTTAGAATTTGCACGGTATTAGGGTTGGACCCAATCAAAATAGTTGGCCTTTGTTCAAGGACAAAATCGTTTGCCAGCCATTGACTTGGTCTAACTTATAAGCCACCAGCATCATAGTTCCGCACGTCATAGGGTATTGAGATGTTCTTTGACCAAGTTCGGTCTAAGAAACAAGCATTTGTTTATAAAACATCGATACAATTAGTTTTGGACTGGAAATTGATTACTGGCCAAACATTAGCTGAACAAAATAGCTAGAGTTGTTGGGTTGGTCATTTGATGAATCAATATTTGACCAGTTTACTCCTGCTGCGTTTTTTTCAGTCATCAAGTGATCACTCGATAGCCATCATGAGATTACCATAAGACCACAAATCACACGAGGCTTACAAGAATAAACGTAGAAATGATTGAACTACGCACCCAACAATTTTTCAGATAAGAATCTCTGGACGTTTCAAAGCACCAAAAAATTGTCTTCGATGATGAGCACAATATAACAAATATCTACTAGTAATGAAACCAAATGAGAATTTTCGGATCCATTTTGATGCTCATTAAGCCATAAACTTCTTCTTGGTCTATGAGACCAAATCTTCCTGATTAGTTTGTTTTTTCATGAAAATAAATCAAGTTAAAACGTCCAATCGACATTATTATTATGACTGAATAATAATACAATACTTAACCTAACCAATTTACTTATCAATAGAAACAAAAAATCTATACAACGGCATTGATATTATAAATACGAAATTGAATAAGAGATCGTTGAGCGAATACTCGTAGAGCAAAAAATTCAAAGCAGTCACTTATGAAAGATTTAGTTAAAAAAATAATACTATACAAATAATTTTTTTTAATATAAAATTGATATCGTTGCTACTTTTTTCAATGTATATCACTCATATTTTTCTATTTAAAAATTAACAGATTAATTTATATAAAAAAAAATTGAGAGTTTAGCTATATATATATATATATATATATATATATAGATTGCATCAATGAAGTAACCGACTCGTCTTGCCTATAGTTTTGTCCCTGGAGCCCAAATTCCAAAAGCGACGGGCCAATCTGAAATTTTAGTTACGAGCTCACTTTGTTAAAAAAAAAAACATATAAAAAAGCATATTTATGCGGAGCAACTTCATTGCTTCCATAGACAACCCAAACATCTTCGGACTCGATCCCACTTTCTTATTCATCAAGTGGTCGCTCAATAGCCGTCGGATCATCGTAAACTTTAACTTAAATAAAGTTTTTGAAAACCCTAACTATTCAACTTCCACATTCAAACACAAACAACAAACAAAATCTCAACTTCTTGAAAAAGAAAGAAAAACCGAAACCAGAAGAAAGGGAACTCTGCGAAAGGGTTAGTAAAAAAAGCTAATTTTAAATTCAATGTTCGATTCAGTGATTTTGTTGCCTTTACATGATTATTTTGTTCTTATTGATTTGATATTCGGTTATTTTTCTAATTTATTTATTTATTAATGTTGACGATAAACAATTTATTGATAGATAATTTTTAAATACATATCTTATTTTATTTTTTTTGGTCGCCAAGAATGAATTGATGGCTTATCAATCAGTTTCTTTCTTATAATTTGCGTATCATTTACACGTCGATCAATTTTTTTTTTGGTTGCTGTTTTTGCTAATTTTTTTCTGTTATTTTTGTTCACTTTTTTCTGATTGCTCATTTTATATGCATATTTATAATTATATGGTTCTTTTCTGTGTGATTTTTTTAATAGTTGATGAAGTAATTTTGTATGATCTTTCTGTTTTTCTGCGAAATATCTGATTTACTGAATTGAATTTTTGACATTGCAGATTGGTGGGATCTTGTCGGTGTTTTAATTTAGCCATCATGAGATTCAAGGCAGGTACGAAAGTGGAGGTATTAAGCAAAAGGGAGGTTGCAACGGGTTCTTGGCTTTGTGCCGAGATCATCTCTGGGAATGGGCACACATACTGTGTTAAGTATGGCTGGTTTCCAGTGAAAAATTCTGGAGAGGCAGCGGTGGAGAGGGTGCCTAGGAAGGCAATTAGGCCTTGTCCACCCCCAGTGGGAGGGGATGATCATTGGGTCCCTGGGGATCTAGTTGAAGCGTTCCACAATTCTGCTTGGAAAACGGCAATAGTAATGGAAGTAGTGGGTGAGAACAGCTATTTTGTTAGGTTACTTGGATTGTGTGAAGAATTCATTGTCCATAAATCTCATTTAAGAGTTAGACAGTGCTGGCAAGATGGCAAATGGATTGTAATGAGGAAGGTAATATTCAATCTGCATTTGCTTTGTTATGTTTTGATTTTGTTTTGATCATCAGTGCTATGTTAAGAGTTTGTCTTGATAATTGCTCACATATGGTTCTTGATTTTGAGACTTGAAGGCAGTTGCCTCTAGAAAAATTTCCAAGGGTCAGGACTATGCCCATATCATCCTTATTAGGACCCTGTTTAAGTGGGATTAACACCTGATTTTTTTTAAAAAAAAAGGTTAAGTCATTGCATCTATTTTATCCCTCCATTCACCCTAAAACATGAAGTCTTCAATGCTTTGCTTGACTAGGTCCCTCTTTTGACCCCTTCCATTGTTTGATTGCGAACTGTACTAAATTTGCCCACCAAGTTTTTTCATCTGAAAAGTAATTAAATTGTTGTAGCTCATGATCAAGTTGCTATCTGACTGTTAATATGACGTTCACCTTTTTGGAATTTAGTCTGCATAATTTACATGAATTTTGTTTCCAAGGGTTACTAATTGATGCTGTATGTAACTTTGTTGGTGACTTGTTATTGATTTTCGATTCCTGATCATTATTTGTCTGTGTGGCATTTTGCAACAGGGTTTGGAGAATTATGCTGTGCCTGTGGGAAAAGGACAATCGGATACAGGGATACACCTATGTGCTGAAGATGATTGCTTTCCAGTGGGAAAAAATTTTGAAGTTCGAAACCGCAATATGGTTTCCACTAGATCATTGAAGAGAGGATCACCATTTGGCAGTGGTCTTGAACCATATCCAGTGGCTGCTCGAAAGAAGAGATTGATTGAAAAAAAGGGTAGCCATGAACGAATTTCTTCAGTTTATCCGTCTCCTACATTTGAAAAGGTAGATGCGTTAATTTATCCAAATGAAATATTGGGTGAGAATTATGTGCACTCTTCCTTTCATACTGGAACAGCTGAGTTCTCTAAAATGGATGTAGGTAGGAAAAATGATAGTTGTCTTGTAGAATCCCCAATATCCGTCGATACAGATAGTTGTATGTCCTCCGTCGGTAGTTGTAGTGTTGTAGGCAGCTTTGGTCACAACCTGCCTTGTCCAAACCAACATGATAAAAATTTAGAGGATTTGCATAGTGATGCTGAATCATCATATGGATCAGAATATGAGATCAAAGGTTCCTTATCTTATGATGAGAAATTTGGAGTTGAAGTGCATAGGTCAAAACTACTTTCCTATTGTTCTACTATTGAGGCATTGTATAGTTCAGGGCCTTTGAGTTGGGAAGATGAAGAAAATTTGACAAGCCTACGCGATGAGCTCCACATTTCAGATGATGAACACTTGATGGTGTTAAGAAATCTGATATCTGTTAATAGTAGGATTGTTAATAGTTGATTTCAAGATTTTTGTCCTCCACAAAACATTATACTGTAACTTTTCTTTGACTGATTTTATAGAGCCCACGGATAGAATGTATAGCTCTAGATGTTGTTTATCTTTGCTGGTTATTATGCAATGCCCCACTCCCCCTTTTTTTTGTATTCAGTTCTGTGAACCAGAACCGTCACTCAAGGAATTGTTTATAATTGGTATTTGATCTTTTATATTTTTAGGTACAATGACTTGAAATTGACAGTTTTGTGAGAAGGAAGCAAATTAAGAATTTCTGCTCTTGAACAGGGCAATTTTAAGTGATTTATTTAATTATAGAAATCATGTTTCATATATCTTTGTCATTGCCTTAAGATATGCGTGGGATGGAGTAAGATTTTGTCTTTTCCATTGTGAATCTGTATATTCTCTACAAGTTCTCTGAAAGATCATTCACAATCCGTGTATTTTCCAGCCGCACATGGATTTTAAGTTGACTAATATGCTGATGCTTTGTCAGAACGTCTCATGGCCAATACTGGGGATTTGCATTCCTTGTTTCTAAAAGTCACAAGATGATGATGCATAAAGTTTACTACCATGCTTGGTGTAGGCTATGAGGCAATATCCACGCTTGATTTCCGACAGGCTCATGTCTGGCTGACTTGGCCATGGGTATGAGTTTTTGTTTTATTTTTTTTCCGGTTCGATCTTATCTAGCCATCTTTCTCATAATTTTGTCTGCTCCTCTCTAAATGATTTTTGTTTTGATGGAAATGTTTAAAATATACAGTCAACTTTGATCGGTTGATTGTACCAAATTTCAGGTGGTCAAGTTTCAAAAGCTAAGTGAAAAAAAACCTTTCCTTCTTGCTGGATACGATGATGATCTATATGAGGCTGTTTGCGTGTTCACAAATATTTTGGATTTCAGGTGTTTTTCTGTTGAACAAAATATCTAATATTATCAAATTGCATCTTGTCAGCGTGGTCATTTATGGTAGTTTGGGTTTGAGTGGCTTAGATTGATAAGTAGGTGAAACTATTATGCAGATTGTTGTGGGAGGTGTTTTATTGGAAATTTTTTGGAGCCTTGTCTTTCAAATTTTAAAGTTTCAGGATGATTAAATCTTTTTAAATGACTTCACATTCTTCTTGTTGTAATGGGTAATTTGATTCACTGACTAGAACAGAGCCTTTCTGTAATTATTGTTGTTTCTTAGGAAGTCTTTCAAGTGCAAGGTTCAACATATCATATAAATTAAGTTATTTGATCTGGCATGTAATTGCCAATTGCCTATTTGTGGTGTGTTGATGATTTTTCCTAACTTCAAATGGATCTTAGTATTGGAACATGCATTATGCACTCAGTTTACAAAAGGAGCAAAGCTTTATTACATTACATTGCTCTATAATTGCATGACAGTATACAAATTATTATAAGTTGCTGTTGATTTTATTCATCTTCTGATGGAGGTTGGGGTATATCGCTAGCTGCACCATTCATAATATGTCCTGACATTCTAATCTATCTTCATTCGTATGAAGAACAAGGATTCAAGGAAGATTGATGTTGCCATGGTCAAAAGGAAATCATGCCTGCCATTGCCTTGGGTGATTATGGCTTCTTTGTAGGCTGATTAGTAAAGCCATTACCTTTTCAAGTCCGTGTTTGTTCGAATGGCGAACAATGATTGAAGGAAGATGGATGTTGTGTGGTCAACGGAAATCATGCCTGTTATTGCCTTTGGCAATTGCTTTGATACTGGCTTCTTGTAAGTTGATTAGTAAAGCCATCATCTTTTCAACTTTCTTTTTGTGGAGTCAAGTTTCTGTTTTTGCTTTACTATTTTGCATTGCATTTGCAGCCCTTAACAGGGATGCCAAAAGGGAGGTTTGCAGGGTGTTTGATATAAACTTTCGAAGCAGCTCATTAGATATTCAAAATCTTTGAGTATGATCAACTTCCAAATTTTTGCAAACCGAAACTGCTATGTGCTCACCTCTTATACCTTTGTGATGGATATAGATTGAACTATTGGGTACTGTTTGTTTGTTTATTTTTATTTTATTTATTTATTTTTATTTTTATTTTTTGGGAAAGAACTATTGGTACTTCAATGTGGAGAAAAATGCGAAATTCTTATGAATACTAGCCATGCTCGAACATTTTCATTATCTACCGGTGTTAATTTGTTTATGTGCCCCATGAGGTTTGCGTGGCGGGAAGCATGATGTGGATGCGTCTGTTTCATGTTGTGCGAACTTTGAAGAGTGAAACTCGCCTGAATCGCCCATTCTATAAATGAGAGAGACGCCTTTCAAATTTAAGGTGGGATTGTTGTGAACTTGTAATATTTGCAGGGTAGTAGCTTGGTGAATTGATAGCTCCAATTATTTGGATTGAAGTATACCTGTATTTTTGACGTATCCTCCATTTGTAGATGGTTAAAGATTAAATTTGTTAAAAAATGTATTGATACCTTGAAGGTTGGCAACAAAGTATCTGTCAATGTTTACCTTTTTTCAAATTTTCGTGGAGAATACGGTCAATGCTTTATTGCCAATATAAATTATCCTGTAGGTCAATTTTGTGCCTATGAGCTGTATGCACCCACCACTGAATCAAGGCAATCGTGCACCCACCAAATATTTTTGTATTTGGTAGTAGTAGTAGTAGTAAGCTGATGGTTTGATTTAGTACAAAGCCGTAAATGTCTTTGTTGGAACTTGGAAGAACCGAGGTTGACCGGTCGGTAATTCCTGCCAAAAGCTGATGATTTTTTTTATTTTTTTATTTTTTATGTATTAAGAATAATAAGGAAGGCATTTAAAACCGGTTGGTTTTTGGGCTATAACTTTTTACGAGATAAAACTTGTTGTGGCTGGGCCTAGATCGGATATTGAATGGTTCGTGATAAAAAAACGCAGTGCTCGAAGGGGGCATACAGGTTCGGGTCTGCATGCGTTAAGCACCAAGCGAGAGCTGCGATAATCTGTCAGTGTCGTGATTATGATAATCATTGCAGATTAGTGGAGTTTTTTTTTTTTTAAAAAAAGGGTACTACTAAATTTTATTTATAAAAATAAAATTATTTTAATCTTATTTGATAAAACAAAATAGTAGATAGTTTTTGTTATGTTGATTAAATCATTTACACATGTCAATTTTATTTTATTTTATGCCAAACTCATTAATAATTTTACAAAATTTTAAAAACAAGTATCAATTGCAATATACATATTTCGTTTGTTATAATTACTACATAAAATAGAACCAACTCCCGAAAATATCTCTAATATCTTTGATGGAGATGTGTAATGATCATCGGTATCACTAGCAAAAGAATCTGTAAATGCTTGAAAGCCACAACAGACAGGAACCATACATTCAACAAGAGACCTAAAGGACCTGCGGAGCCTCATTTCCCTCCCACAGTCAATGGTGGTTAAAAGGAATTTTATGAGGTGCAGGGGGTTAGGGTTTGGTTCTGGTTTAGGGTTTTTTTTTCTTTTTAATTGTAACTGAAAGTGTATAATTGGTTAATATGAAGTGCTTAGTTTGTTAATTTTGGATTTATGAGATTCCCATTTTTACAATGAATGAATTATTAGGTAGTTAAATTGTCTTGAATCTTCTTTAATTTTTTCAATCTCTCTGTGGACGCTGAATGTATGGCGTAACTGTTTGCAGAGATGCTTGAATTTCAAAGCTGTTTTAGATGCTTGTTGATTTCTTCTGTTGATGAATTGTGGTTGTGGGTTATGGTGTTTGACCTGCTTCTTGCATATCACATTTCTGTTTGGGACCAGGAAACCCCAGGAGAGCACAAAAGATAATGATTTACTTGAAAATATAATTAGGGTTTAGCTTTGTTTTGCATCGGTCTTTAAAAACTCTACCTCCCATGGTTTATGGTTTTGAAATCTGGATTTATCAGAAGTGCATCATAACTGTGTGAGATTTAAGAACGTGAAAATCATGTATTTGATTTTATGATATATGTCCATTTATCCAATGCAATTTCCCATCACTTCTTTTTTTCTTTCTCCTGAACTTTTTGGTTCCAGATATATCTAATGAGATTAATAAAAAAGATATCCATTATTGTAGATGACATCTGTTTCTAAAATTTTATAAAATTGTTAGTCAATTTAGCATTCGAAAAAAAACTGACATTTAAATAGCAAAACAATATTTTGTGTTGATAAATAAAAGTAAAACAACTTTTTTTTTACAAATAAGATTTAAAAGTATCATATTTTTTTTAAAAAAGAAAACTCCAGATTAGTGATCAACAATAATTAATTAATTACCAGTAATATTAGCGATCGTCAAATAGTTGACACAAGTAGCACTTGAGATAATGGCAGCAATGCAGTAACTGCATGATTGTCACCAAGCCATCATTTCCTTCTCTCTGCCCTTTTTGAGAAATCATTACAAACTCAGAGTCAGTAGAAAGAAAGCCTCGAGAAGCGGAAGAAAAAAGAAAAGAAAAACAGTCAGCTCACCAGTCTTGTCTTCTCTCTATCTTCTTCCAGCTCTGATAACCTTAAACAAACCACCATAACTCTCTCTTTCTCCATTCGTCCTTCAGCTATCGAAAAATGGAGTTCAAAGTCAAGCACGTGGGCGGGATAGAGAATTGCTTTGTCTCTCTCCCTCTGAACCTAATACAAACCCTTGAATCCACTCGCCGTCCTGCTCCTCTCCCTCCAGTTCTCACTCTTGAACTTCGCTCTCCTTCCGCCAACCGTCACTGGACCGTCGCTTGGTCCGGTGCTACCTCCTCCTCTTCCTCCATCGAGGTGATTTTCCCTTAATTTCCTTCTGATTCACTCTAATTACTGCAATTTTTAGAAATAGGAGGGCTAGTTATGTATATTACTGCAAATTTCAAGGCTTAATTTATCTTGTTATCTGTTGGGCGAAGGTTGCGCAACAGTTTGCAGAGTGCATTTCATTGCCCGATCATATCAAAGTTCAAGTTAGGGCTGTTTCTAATTTGGCCAATGCGACTTTGGTAACCATTGAACCTCACAGTGAGGATGATTGGGAAGTTATAGAACTTAACGCTGACCAAGCCGAGGCCGCCATGTTAAACCAGGTTTTTCTTGTGCTATTATTTTTTTCTTTAAGGTTATGTGAAGTTGCTGCCTTCTCCTTTTTGCACATTTGAGAAATCAAATCTGGTTGCAGGTGAGAATTGTCAATGAAGGAATGAGATTTCCTTTGTGGTTACATGGCGGCGCTGTCATTACATTCCTTGTGGTTTCAACGTCTCCCAAGAGAGCGGTGGGTAAGATGATGTCTGCAACTTTCCCATAAGTTTCCACTCAACTTATAGAATCTTGACGTTATTGGTTCAATAATTACCAGCTTTGTTTATTGGCATCGTTATGAGTTGTGCATTCTAGTTATGTAGTCAAGTGGTTGCATTGTTGTTATTATCAATTTCGTATTTTTTTTATATGCTTTTATTTGGATAATTTTGGTTGTTGCATGGACAATTGTATTAAATAAAGGTTTCTGATAGACTACTAGGGTTAATCCTGACCTATGAGATTGTTTTCAGTTCAACTTGTGCCAGGAGCTGAAGTTGCAGTTGCTCCAAAAAGACGCAAAAAGGATGTTAACAAACAAGACGCCACTGTGCAGTCTTCTAATAAAGAAATTAATAAAGCAAAGGCCCTGTTGCGAGTTCAAGATCTAGACAGAAGATTGTTTAAAAAATGTGACGTCAGAGGTGTTGAGTTGGCCATTGCAGTCACTTGTGTTGCTTATCTCCATCCTGAAACTGCTCAAAATTTTTCTTTAGATTCTCTGCAGTTGGTCACTCTTGTTCCTAGATTGTCATCAAAAGATGGTGTAAAGACTCCTGATAGCGATGCATTGAGAGTGAAAAGCGCCTCAACTCCCAACTTAACTAATGATGGAACTTTAACCGGCAAGAAAGAATTTCGTCAAGCAATTGTCCGCCTTTTGTTTTCTGATTCGGTGGCTAAAGGGCATGTAATGATAGCTCGATCTCTTCGTTTGTATTTGAGAGCAGGGCTGCATTCATGTATGTTAATTATTCTGAGCACTCATTGATCTTATGTCCCTTTATTAGCTTTAACATGCTTTAATAAGGACGGAGGAGCATTTTGTTGCTTTTTTAACAATTATTACTCCACGATTGATTTTGTTTTGCCATACTGTGCATTTTTTAATTTAAAATATTCTTTTGTTTTCAGGGATTTATTTAAAGGGATGCGGTGCTGATTTGAATTACATTGCATCACTTTCACTTTCTCCCTGTTACTTTAAGATGCTGGGACAAGATAAGCCCATTGAGAAGCCTGGTCTAGAACTGCTTGACAGTGATAAACTTCGGAAGCCAAGAAAAACTAGCTTGGGTGCCTATATGGATGCTGTAGATTGGTCAGTCCACGACAGAATTGTTGCTTCTTTGTCACAAGACTTTCCTTCTAAACAGGAAGAAGAGACCGGTTATCTGTCTGATAATAAAAAGGGATCGAGAAGACTTCTTCAAGCATGGTATCGTGCACAGCTTGATGCTATTGCTTCAACTTCTAAGGTGGAAGTTAATTCATTAATTTTAGGAAAAGAAACTTTACTTCACTTTGAAGTGAAAGGATATGACTTTGGGACTGATAGGAAGATTAGGGAACATACATCTTCTTATTCAAATGGATCTCTAGAGAACAGGAATAAGACTGGTGAATTGCAAATTGAATTTTTGTATGTTCTGAGTATTCCTGAGGATTATGTATACAAAAAAAAGGTGAATGCATACAGTCTTTCCTTTGATGAAAGCGAAAAGGATAATCTTGGAGTAGAGTTGTTTGAAAGGCTGAAACTGGGTGACCCTGTGTCCTTCCATTCTCTGAAGGAAAGCAACTCTTTTACAGGCTTTAGTTCAAATGCATCTTCTTTGAGCTGGATGGGGACAACTGCTTCTGATGTGATTAACAGTAGGTATTTCCTCTCTGTCCTTCTATTTGCAATGCTTGTAGTTCTCAGGACGCCTCTATCATGTGGAATTTTTTCAGTTCATGATCATATAGTGTAATTATCTGCATTCCTTCATTATATATGTTTTCCACATGCTAACATAACACATACACTTGATAATGAGGAAATAATGACAAAAACTCTACCGTCTTGTTTGTTAAGACATGGAAGGATCTCAAGGTGGAGCTTGAAGCCAATTTCGTGCGCACAATACTGGATGCCTTCTTTCAACATTGATATTAACTTTTCTTAACATGTTGGGCTGGGATCGGTTATCGTCTAGTTACACTTTCCCCATGATTTTCTTCTGTTCCCAACGGTGTGTGATTGGTTGAGTAAATATTTATGTGGTTTTGGTGAATGGGAATTTCCTCAGGGCTCGTGACAGTGTATTCTATAATTGTTGCTTGGTCTAAAAGGAAAACAAACAAAAAACCAGAAGAAAAGTCTATCTTGGTAGTGATTGTTTTTTGCATTAGCTGGATTAGTGTATACAGTCTATCTGACACTGTTTAGAATTGAAGTTGGCTTTTTTGCTTGAAGTTTGTTGTGGATTTCACCTGCATTCTTTCTCTTTATTTTTTTTCTATTAAGATGCTTGATTATTTTGTGTTTGCGTGTAACTTTGTACTGTAACAATCTAGCTTGAAGAAAATTCTATGGATTGACTTCCAATATTGTTGCCATAACATGGTCATGCCAAACTGCACCGTCCACTTGTGCTGGCACCCTATGCAGTTCTCAGCTTTTGTTGTACTTAATTTTCCTACTACTGACACTGTGACACATGCCCCACCAAGATATAAAGAATTTGCTTCTTTCCCTTTTAATAGTTCAAGTTCATAAACAATTTTATCTCAATGCAGGAATGATGGTGTTATTATATCCTCCTTATAGCATGTGGTTTCATTCATACAATCTTCCTCTGCCTGGGCATGTTCTGATATATGGACCTCACGTGAGTTTTATCCCTTTGATTTTAGTGAAGCTATTTATAAAATGATGTTTGATATGCGAAATATGCTCATTAGCACTATCAAACCAAACATGAGTGCCTTCCAGCAATAGTTTTATCACCCCCCATTGTTCGTTTGGTTCAATTGTAGATGAATGAACTTCTGTATAGGTGTTAGATGCCAGATTATCTATGCATCATATGTCAAGGGAACATGATTTGGTCACATGGTTAATTTTTGTGACCCTATGCATAAGGGAATCAAATGTGCAAGCTACTAGTTGAAGATGTGTAAATAAATTCATATTCAACTATAACTCAGATAACTTAGAGTCAACAATATGGTTTTCATCCATGAAAAAACAGACAATAACTTTATCTATTTGAATTTATAACAAGTATCACTTGAATGATGGGCATGTTGGACATTAATTAGTCTCTGCCTATACTAATAACACATAGATGAAAGGGCGCATATTGAATTTCTCTCAAGAAACTTGATTGTTTATGCATTCGCATGGCATGCTATGTTTGGATGGTGACTGGTGAGAAGTGCCATAATATCTAAAAATGATTATTGCCCCCTTTGAGATCAAATAGTCTTTTTGGCTTCCTTTTGTTTTTGAGCTTCAGGTGCATTTAGAGGTTTGTATTGATGTACTGAATGACAGCAGATAGAGTAAGAAATTGAGGAGTGTAGTGAAGATGTTGTGGGCAGAGGTAAAGGTGAGAAAAAGACAAAGGCAGCAGAATTGGAACTGAGAAATGTAATGTTAAGTCCCAGTGTAGTGGCCAATCTGGAAAGAGGGTGTGCCAAAACGTATGATAAGGTGTTATAAAGGCACCAAGAACCTTAATAGAACTTCAAATCAAGTTAGGAATCTTGTTATACACAGGATATACACAGGAAAACATGTGTCCATGCCACTAAATTGGAAATACATTATTAAAAAGTTCCCAATTAGAATTAAAAATGCTAGATAGTTAAATAGAACCAAATGATGACTTAATAATCCAAAATCCTACTTTGCTTCTAGTCATGAGAGTTTTGTTGCATCAGATCTTGTTTGCTGGAGAGGATGGCTGATGACCTTTTCTTTTATTTCTATTTCTATTTCCTTCTCTTCTCTTTTTAATGATTTATTCTTTTATGAAATTCCCATAAGAAAATTTCTTGAATATAAGACAATCAAATGCATAACCAAGTTATTTAGTCCGTCATTTTTCACAAATGGAACTAAATCCTTCATTTCTGAAAGTTATCTGGATTCTGGCATCTTGGTAATTCTATATGTTCAATTGTCTATTTTATTTATTGTCATCGCTCACTGTTTTATCACATCAATCAAACATATTAGTCGAAGAGTCATGTGTCAGTTAATACAAGAGGTTGCAATGTGTTTGCCTTTTAGGGTTCCGGAAAAACCACTTTAGCAAGAGCTGTTGCAAAATCCCTTGAAGAACATAAAGACCTCTTTGCACACATGTAAGGAATTCTTTTTTAACACATTTATGCAATTGTCTAATTTTTTTTCCTTCCTTTTAACTGGTAAATCAAATGTATCAAATGTTCACCTGTGTTACTTCTTGTGAACGGATTTAATCATAACAGGTGCGAGGGTGACACACACAGCCATATACTTATTTTTATGTGTGTCTCTATTGCTCTAATTTAGGTCTGTGCATGCAGTGTGTTTGTAAGCTGCTCTGGACTTGCCTTAGATAAAGCCTCAACTATTCGTCAAGCCCTTTCTGCTTCCATATCTGAAGCATTGGATCATGCACCTTCCCTTGTTATATTTGATGATCTGGATACCATTGTGTCATCCTCTTCTGACTCAGAAGGATCTCAACCTTCAACATCTATTGTTGCGCTGACGAAATTTCTCACTGACTTTATAGATGAATATGGGGTAATAAATCAGTCATTTTCTTTCCTTGTTCCTGGATTGATGGTATTGAAGCTGTTTTAAATGTGTGTTTAGTTTTATTTCTGCATACAGTGTGCAATTGGTCGGTTCCAATGATAGTTACTTCATATGAATACCTAATTATGATTAACTGTAAGACATCCAGACTAGTAAAGGAACATTGGTATCAGGTGACAATTAACATAATGGGTCTATTCTGAACATGAAAATTTAATATGGCAATGTACAGGAAAAAAGGAAGAGCACATGTGGAATTGGTCCAATTGCCTTTATAGCCTCTGTGCAGACTCTGGAGGATATTCCACAGTCATTGAGCTCTTCAGGTCGGTCTTTTTTGGCGTATAGAAAGAATGCTGTGAAAGAAATCGAGTTACTAATACTTCCCTTTCTCTTCAGTCTTTTTTTTTCTTTTTAATTCTGGCTTTGCATATTTGGTTGTTTTCAGGAAGGTTTGACTTCCATGTGCAACTGCCTGCTCCTGCTGCCTCAGAACGTGAGGCTATATTAAAGCATGAAATCCAGAGGCGTTCCTTACAGTGTTCTGACGACATCTTGCTTGAAGTGGCTTCCAAATGCGATGGATATGATGCATATGATCTGGTATTTGTTGTGATTCGTCATTCAGGATGTATTGATAATTTTGTTCCTTTACTTTGGGAGGGGTTTTTTATGAACTTACATGGATTTTGTTGTAATGTGTTGGGTGGCTATTTTAAGTTTCTTTTTCATCATCACCATTCAAGCTTGTTTATACTCACTTTCTCCATGATCAAGTGGGACACATGGTTTTGTCAGTCTTGCATAGGACACATAATTGCATTTAAACTTCATATTTGCGTATTAAGTTTGTTGTGAAGCTTCAAAAATTGGTCGTGTCAGAAGAAATCTTGTCAGTGAAAAGCTGTATTTTGAAGCTGCTTTTGTTGCACATGCATGACTATAATTTCTGATATGAAGCAGTTCAATGTATCAGGAAATATTGGTAGATAGAACTGTGCATGCTGCCATTGGCCGATTTTTGCCTTCTCATTCCACTTTTGAAAAGCACAACTTACCCACATTAATCAAGGACGACTTTACTCGGGCAATGCATGAGTTTCTTCCAGTTTCCATGCGTGACATCACGAAATCTGCCCCTGAAGGTGGCCGTTCTGGGTGGGATGACGTTGGTGGTCTTAGTGAAATAAGGAATGCTATTAAAGAGGTATGATTTTGCTTTCGGCATTTTTAATGACAAAAGGTGATTATATGATTAATGACTATATGATTTGCAGGTTGTGTTAACTGTTAATTTGTTTCTAACAAAATGTCAGCATTTCAATCATTTGCTTTCCCTTTCATCTTAACTTCAAGTTGTTGGCTGTTTGAATATCATGAAACGAGTATCATGCTAATTTCAGAGAACTGAGGCTCGAAAATAAAAGCACTGTTAGCTCTATATGGATAAATTAAACAGAGGGATGCGAGAGCTTCTAATGGAATTGTGGCATTTTAGAAAATCTTTTTGGCTTCTTAGGAGTTAAATTGTTCTTGAGATGAATGAGACAGCTCACTGCCCAGTAGGCATATGGCATTGGGGAAGATGTAACTTCCTCAAAAATAGAATTTACTTTCAAGCTATTATCAATTCCTTATTAATGAAAATCGAGTCAGCTATACAGGTCTGCTCATACTTCAGGCCAGTGAAAACTGGAGCTAGAAAGTTTATGGTAACTCTCAAATCTGGACCAGTCAACACCACAGCTATTGCTTTGACTGCTAAACGACCCAAAATAGTGCAATTAAAACTAGAAACGTAGCCAGAATTATAATTTTCATAAAATTGAAAGCATGCTTGAAGAAATGTATGAAAACTCTGAACATCACAAGAAAACCTTATATTAACTGTGAAAAAGAACCATGAACCACTCAGTACGTCCTACTTAGAGGAAGTTGTGTTTAGTTTTGCTTTTATGATGGGTGAAATACTTGAAGAAATACTATGGGTTGGAAGGGTGGGGCAACCTATGAACATAGGATCTTACCAATGAGAAATTGGGTTTCCAACTTTTTGATTTTTCGGGGCTTTCAAAGTTTGCATCATAATTTTTAGATAATCTGTGTGGTCATTGTTAGATATTTTGTATTTAGAGATTGCCACATCTCAATCATTGTGTCACTGAAGATTGAGGTACGCCATTGAATGGATTTGAATATCAAAACACTCTGACCCATCCTTCTTCCTCTTCCCCATGTATCCTTAATCCATGAACTTGATAGATGATACTCACATTAATAATAACAACTAGGCCATGGAGAGGGCTGGTATAGATGCTTACCATATATAGTATTTCAGATTATGAAATATCTGAAGTTGAGAAACTCCGTTCTTATATATATCCCTAGTTTGTTTGTGAAGTTGAACTTGATTGCCGTCTCTTGTTCAAGTTGAAAGCAGGGCATGCAACAAAACTAGATACATTTGTGTTAAAATGTCAACTGGTTTGCATTGTGATTCTCCTCATTCTTCTAAAGAACATTTCTCTTTAGTGATTCTTTTTTATGTTAACTATTTTGGCTGATCTGATTCTACGTAGAATTTGTTGATTATGGCACTTAGGTTTGCTATATGCTCAATCTGGTTTTCCACTTAACTGGACATGCTCCTTGCTATGGTGATTTCTGCTATGAATAAGCTCTCTTTGTTTCAATAATTTTTTTATAAATTATTTTATTTGTGCAAATATTTTTGAAAGATTTGAATTCTGAAGGAAACAGGAGTAGATGAAGACACTTTTTTAGGGTGTTGAGGGTATTCCTTTGTTTTATTCATTCAATAAGTAATGGATGTGTCTTAACTTGGTCTTTTGTTAGACGTTAGCCTTTAGACCATCCATGAAACAGTAATTCATTTATTTGTCCAGTGCTCTATCGAGTATCTGTCCTCTCTAAATTGTTATCCTTTAATTGCTTATTCTATGATAGGCTTTAAGTTGTTATGGTTAACTCTATGCAGATGATTGAATTGCCTTCGAAGTTCCCGAATATCTTTATCCAAGCTCCTTTACGCTTACGGTCAAATGTTCTCTTATATGGTCCTCCTGGATGTGGCAAAACTCATATTGTTGGTGCTGCCGCTGCCGCTTGTTCTCTTCGATTCATATCAGTGAAAGGGCCTGAGCTATTGAACAAATACATTGGTGCTTCTGAACAAGCTGTAAGAGAGCAACTTAACCTCCCTTCCCATTTTGAAATGATAAAATAAACAGTTTCATTTAAATTAACCATTAACAGCCACATTCCCAAGCATATTGCCAGTATTGTTTGTCCTTGTCAAGTCAGAACTCAGGCTCCTAAAAGTATCATTGGAATAGCTGTGTATTTTCTTTATTGGGTCAATAATCTTATTTACTTTCTCCCAAATGAATTGAAGTTTTTGAAACTTCAATATTTGTATTTTTCTTTCCTTTTATTCACCTACATTTCAAAGGGTTTGGCAATGCATTGGTTTGGATTTTCTCTTACTGCTGTTCTTCATTATAAAACTTCTTGGAATGTATTGAAGGGATAAGAAATTCTTTTTTCTCTTCAAGTCCAGTGCTTACACAAATTTGTTGCTGGTGCATTGCGTGTCTGACCCTGAAAATTGGTTTTCAGAATAAGAAATCTGGTAGTGTTATAGATAAGCAGGCTCTCATTTGTGTGGAAAGAAGGTAATGAAATGAAACCGTGTTTCAGAAACTTCAATGATAAAGAGAAAGGTGAATAATGTCATAGGAGAAAATACCTAGGATACTTTGCGGACCATGTATTTGCTTGAAGGTACCTTCGTAGATCAGAGTGCATTTGGCATACTGCTATGTGAAGATTGTTGCTTTGAAAAACTTCAGTTCCACACAATGTAAGGATGCTTTTAAGTCGGAAAACCAATTCATAGCATAAAAGTTTGTCTTGCCGAACATTTTGTCTTAGTAGTACATCCTTTGACATATCCCTACCATTTATTCTGTGTCGACTGGTCAGTTTCCAATTGTTTGTTAGATAGGTGGTAAGAAATCAGTTATGTATAACACTCTCTTTTTACATTTCGAGAATGGCCTCAACTGAAGAATACTGCATAATTTGCTGATAATATCATTAGTAATGTGCACTGATCGTTGTTGGGCATAATTGATCAAAACAAGTATGTGGTATATGATGGAGATTTATTAATATTCTCATGGAAGTTGCGTGCATCCAGTATTCTATTATGTTGAAATTGATGACAATAAGATATCGATATTACAATTGAATGTGAACTCCGTTTCTTCTTTTAGTTAAATGCAGGAAGCTGCTTTGATGCTGGTCTGGATTTGATTGTGTGATTTCATGATCCAGAAATGAAATTGAGACTGTAATGGGATCCTGTATTGGAATATGCCCGTGTTTTTTCCTTGTAAATATTTAAGGCATATTGACTGCTGGCAATGCCCTTGCTTTAACTACAGGTCCGTGACATTTTCTCAAAAGCAGCTGCTGCAGCACCGTGTCTTCTGTTTTTTGATGAATTTGATTCCATTGCCCCAAAACGAGGACATGACAATACTGGAGTAACCGATCGTGTTGTTAATCAAGTTAGTTTCTCATTTGGGTTCTTCCAGCTTAAATGGTTTCTTCATCAATTTTCTTACTAGTCAATTTTTCCTTTTCCCAGTTTCTAACTGAATTAGATGGTGTTGAAGTTTTGACTGGAGTTTTTGTTTTTGCTGCGACAAGGTTAGTTTCATTCTTGTGTATATACTTATTTAGGTTCATGTTCCTCTCCAGACATTAATTATTGGGTGCTAACATGAGAGATTTTCTCTAGCAATTTTTTTGCTAGTAGCAGGTTATGGCTTTTCCAATTGCTTAAAGCAGATACCAAATGATGGATACCTTTGTTGGGTTGGATACTTGTATTAGCTTCTTGTGCTGATTAAAGAATACCTTACCATCCTTAATTGTATTTTCTTCTCTTCCTATTTTCATAAATTTTCCTTTCGTCCAAATGAAAAGGCAAAAGGAACAGGGTGCCGTAAAAGTTTTAGAAGTTGTGATTCCTGTAAATGAAAATTATAGAAGTATTATAAGGGATATAAAGAAATGGTACTGCATTCATTAATTTCAATGGAGGATTGCCACTGATGATTGGTGATGCCAGATAAATTTGGTTCCAAAATTTACTGTAATCATATATTTCATTCAGCATCTCATGTCAACTGGATACCCAATGCTTTAATTTTCAGCATTTTTTTGGGAATTTGTTATTAAATGTTTACAGCTCGTTGATTAACATTGATTTTGAGAAATTTTGTTCTTTAGTTTCTTAAGTAAATTTTTATGACTCTGAGAAGACTAACTTTCTATTATTCTTGTTCTCCCTTTATCAAATGATCAAGCAGTAGACCAGATCTACTTGATGCTGCATTATTGAGACCTGGTCGGTTAGATCGCCTTCTTTTCTGTGATTTTCCATCTCGGCAGGAGAGGTTGGATATCCTAGCAGTTCTTTCTCGAAAGGTGAGTAATACTGCCCATTTCTAACCTTTTTTTTTATAGATAAGAGAAAATGGTATCAATAGCAGTAAGAATTGCCAAAGCTTGATGAAATTTGTAACCTCTCTTTGTTCTTTCCCCCTTTCTTTTCCTTTTCTCTTTTTAGATTCCTACTGAATTCTGCATACTTAAATTGAGCATACTTAAATTGACAATAAACCCTTCACACATGCCCCTTTAATGTTGGAGAAGTACTTCAGCCCCTATATTTGTGTCAAAAAGTGAATTTGCACTTTGTGTTCATTTTTTGGTCAATTCACCTAATTTGGCCAAATATGGGTCCAGTTGACTGCAATTAAAAGTGCTTGTTAGCTATTGTCAATTAAGCAATCGAGACTTTCACTTGGCAGGCTCACATGTTTTTGTATATGATCATTAATTGAGTTAGATAAAAAATGAATTTGAACAAGAAAAATAGATATGAGTTCAAATAATTTCCATCATAGTTGGGTGTGTTCTTCCGTTCAAATAAAAATTTTGACAGTTTCCGACCTGATCTTCCCAAGGCTTAATCTTTTGCAGTTCTAACCCAATGCTAAAACCCATTTTTGAAATACAATCACAATCATCCATCGTAATCTAAAATCCATTTCAACTGAAATTCTGTCTATTATTGCCACTACCATGACTGATCCATAATCTAATCTCCACTGCCATTACAATGCTGTTTCCTCTGGCAACAACCTGTGAAGTTCTTGCAAAATTAATGTTGTTTAGATCAGCATTTCATCGAATGCAAAGAGTGCAGCTCGTGAAATGAGGATAAAGAGAAACCAGAGGAGAGCTAAATTAAGTCCATGACAGAGCAGACCAAAATCTAGCAACAAAATCTCTGCAATCCTTGAGTTACATTAGAAAATGCCGCACAAATGAGAAACCAGCCATAGAAGAAAAAGTGAAGTTGAAAAGCAGTAGGATTGTAAGGAAGATGATAATAAGGTTATATGGAGGTGAGGTTTTGCCACAATTTAGAAACTTGTTAATTGGTTTTTATGTTGTTTCATTGATGTTTACAATAGCTAAAGAGGCTTCAGGTCTTTGGTATTCAAGATGTTATACCCAACAACAAGTTTGATTTGGGTCTCGTATATTGGTGGCATTGTTATCATAAAGCTTGGAGAATTTGTAAGTTATATGAGAATCCAGAATTTAGACATAATGATCGAGAGAATTGAGGGGAGAAGTTGTGGAAGAGATGGTCGTGAGTTTGTTTAATTTTAATTGGCTTGGTTTTGTTTAATTAGCATAGTTTGGTTGATTCTTAATTAACTTTATTACGCATAACTTAATTTCTGTTAGTTTTTTGTTTGTTTTTTTTAAATGGCCAATAGGTGTCCCCATGATGTAATTAAGTGACCACATGATGACTTTATTAAGCAGGAACCAACAGGCATTATTGACTAGGGGATTTGGCCCATAGTTTGTCCAATTGTTTGAAATTGACCAAAAATAAACATAGGGTGTAAAATAACTTTTGGAAACAAACACAAGGGCTAAATTGGGGTTTTTTTCTCTTAATGTTATACCATACAGATTAACAGCAGATCAATATCATGCTGTACTTGTGCTAGATTTTGTGTCCGTTTAATTATAAATAGAAATTATGTTGCGTTTTGGAAAAAGGAGTGTAACCTTTTCCACTAAGCTTCCAAGTAGACTGATTGCTGTTTGGGAATCAACGTAAGCATTGCAAGGTTTCTTCAATTATTTATGGTCAGGGTGTTTTTAAATTTTAGCATCAGCTTAGGGGTTCTATTTTCATGCTATCTGTTTGCTATTCTCAACTTTGCCATCTACAAATCAATGCAGCTGCCTCTTGCCAATGATGTTGACATAGGAGCAATAGCTGATATGACAGAAGGATTCAGCGGTGCTGACCTACAAGCTCTTCTCTCAGACGCCCAGCTTGCAGCAGTTCATGAACATTTAAGCATTGCAGACATTGACAACCCTGGTAAAATGCCAGTCATAACTGATGATCTTTTGAAGTCTACTACTTCCAAAGCAAGACCATCGATTTCTGAAGCTGAGAAGCAAAGACTCTATGGTATATATAGCCAGTTCTTGGATTCAAAGCGATCTGTTGCTTCACAGGTTCTGCTTTCTCTCTCTTGGAGTCCCATTTATAGTGCACGTCACATTTTAGGTACTTTCAATTAAAGCTTGATGATAACAAATTATTTGTCTGCAGTCAAGGGATGCAAAGGGCAAAAGAGCTACTCTAGCATAAGAAATCTTCTGAAGGCGAAACGACAGACCAGTCATGTAACTTAAGCTTGACAAATAACCACTTGCTTCTACTTAATATTATGGGTTGGAGTCTGTTCAATTTTTCCCCAAAGAAAAATAATAATCATCCATTTGTTTCCAATTTAAGGTCTAATCGGAGACCTTATTATCCTCTTGATTTTCAATATATACTATCTAGATTTGGATTGTACATTCTTATACGTTTAATACATTATGTTGATGTATTGGTACTGTGAAGTGGATATGATACAGCGAGCTTGCTTATACAGTCCCATCCGTTATTGTGAACCTCTGTAGACATATCCAGAGGCGAAGGTGCAGATTGTCTTTCAGCTCACTGCAGGTCATCTTGCTCTATTGGGTAGTGAAGGTTCACTGAAGCCACATATATTTTTCAAACAGGCACCTGCTGTTGACTCAGATGATAAGGAATTGGAGAAGAAAGAAGTCCATTTCGTTTGTTCTTGGGAAAGCAAGTAAGCTAATGGGACCGTGATGGAATGAAGCAACTGGTAGGCTTTCTTTGCAATTGTTAAAAGATGCTCTGGTATATAATTTTGACGATCTTTTGCTGAGGATCTAGTTTTCATGTACATCTTTATGACCGACAAGGTCATATCTCTAGCAAGCTTTGCAGTTATCATAATGGATGTAAGACTTGTTTTGACAATTGACGCCAAGTTTAAACCATATATGATTGCCTTAGGTAATTGGAATTTTGAATTAAGGATGTAGATTTAAGAATATCTTGACTCGCAGACAAGTTGTTTGAATTTGTTCCTTGAAAATTTCAGCTTCAGTGTAAAACATTAAGAGGACAAAGGTCGTTTTCTTTTAATCATTCTCTGATAGTAGGTGCCATATTAGTTCTCATTATGTTTATAAACCGGCGGTCTGCCCTCCAGTTCTGTGACTCAGAAGTTTTGATAGGGTAAACACGATTGGTTCAGACTAGATCTGGAACACAGATCGATTTCCTTGCTATTCAAAACAACAGGTTATTTGTGAAGCAAGTCCATATAATGATTATCCTTTCTTCCATAATTAACTATTTAAAGAGCAAAGTTGTGTTTATCTGTTGGATCAGTTATTTACAGCGTTTGAATATAATGTTGGTTTTCAATTGCTAAGCATCAATAAAAAGAAAAGAACGAAGGATCAAAATACATAAAAGAATTGCCACGACACATCCTAAAGATGGAGGCAGGAAGGGACGATCATTCAATCACACATGCACATTTTATGCAAGCAAGTCGGTTTATTTTAATAATTTGGATAGGGTTAACTCTCTCCTAAAATTTCGTCTGATGTTTGTTGGATTACATATGGAGAGAGAGAGAGAGAGAAATCAGAAAGGATTGAATACAAATCCTAACCAGCATTGTTTAAAATTAAGTAAAGTGTTTGGTTGAAAAGGTATTCCAGGATAGACTGCAGGGTCATGATTAATCTTTTTGGATAAGACATACAAATGCCCACAAGCCCATCTGAGTATACTAGCTGAAGCTCGATCTGATTGCAGTTGCAGAACATACATTCTTTATCTAGCTGCACTAGCAATTCTAAAACATGCCCGATCCCTTTGAGTTTATCCAAAGTTCCAAACAATTCCCCCTTAAAATGATTGTATGAGGTTTCACAATTTCAACTTCATAGTCATATACAATGCATTTTTCAGTGTTAATTGAATTATGACATTTGTCAAATAATAACCTTTCCTGCTTCCTCATCTTTCCATTTGGGTGTCGTCGCTCCCCCGTATTATAATAAAATAAACTTGAACGGCGACATGCACATACACACGTCACCACCCCGTACCTCTCTCTTTTCATCAATATCCGTCGGTCCCTGCAATTTCAAGCTGCACATTTTTTCTTCTTTGTCAATCGCGCCAACCATTAGTACTACTCTCTCTCCTTTTCTCTCTCTCGGTTTGTCTATATATACTTGTGGTTTCAAGCTTGCTTGATGTTTGTTCCAGGAGATCAAGAGTCTTGGAATCCACGGGCAGTACTATGTATATGTATCAACTTGACATTTTAGCTAATACTCATGCATGTGTTATGTGTATAAAAAGATGGAGTAATATTCTTAATTTAAGTTTAAATTTTGACTATTTTCTATGCGTTCAAAAAAAAAAAAAAAAACAAGGATATGCAATCGCTTTGTTCCTAGACTCACTCTTCATCACAGAGAAGATGCCAAGGCACCTTAAAATTTATCTTTTCAATTTTTTTTTTATTCGTTCGTATAATATCCTTATTAATTATTTTTTCAACCGTTATCAGACAATTTAAATTTTAGATGGAAGACATTATATATATGTATGTGTACTTAAGGAGCAAAATTTAATTTTTTTCATTGTTTAAACTTCGCTTTTAAAAGTAATTATTTATAGAATCTTTCGACACCGACATATCATGTTCCACTGGCAGGATCAACGAACACTCGGATCCGAAGGCATCGAGTCTCTCGTACCGCTTATTTATAGGTCGTCTTGAAAAAAATATGCCTGGAAACGAGCAACATTTGAAAAATGAGAATAAATTGTGTGAATAATATTTTGGCATGATTTTCGACTATGTTATACGCTTATCCGGGATGTCTATATTTATGGGAAACGGATCGCATGTCAATTGAGTGTGTATGACCTCGGTTATGACTAAAAACCCACTAAAGGCGGACATCAAATGGGTTATATACAAATTAGTTAAGGTCCTCAATGCGTGGAAGCATAGTAAACCTAGCTAGATAATGCATACTTACTCTCTAATGCCAAAAATAAAGTGTAATGTGTAATGTGTGTTATATGTGATTTAGGAGCTCGAGACGTTAAAGAGGGGCAAGATAAAGGGAAAGAAGTTAAGTAGTTTGTGCGTAGGTGAGTGAAACCTAATTTTGCACTATATGTATGTGTTCCATGCTTAACTTGAATTGTTAAAGCTTGAATGAAGTTTGATTTTGCTTGTGAAATGAAATGTGCTATTAGTATTTGCTAATGTAATTTGCTATGTTGAACTTGAATTACTAGAGGATGTTTGAGACTTATGAAATATGATTGTATATATAAGGGGATTTATGATTAATTTTGGGTAAAAAAATGATATGAAAATGAGAATTTTATATTTTGTCGTCAACTTTATTTGAATACCCTCAAATCTAATGAATTTTTTTTTTAAAAAAAAAGATTCGCAAATGCGTCTTTCGCAAGAATGATGTGTTGTCCATGTATTTTTTTTTTTCATATGGATGGGCCTAGAGTAAGGTCGTAAGCCCAAATTTCAAAATTTTTTATTTTTTTAAATTGCTTTTAAAAAAACATTTTCATCCATTGAATTTCTCATTTTTAATTTTATTACTCTTTTACTTAAGTAAACTATATTATAAATTTTGTATTCCCTATATTTTATGTGGTTTTACAAGTGTAAAAGTTATTATGTGTTATTTTTTAAAGGAAATAGAGTACTTTTATTGAAATATTTAGAATAAAATATGCATAACTTAGTAAAATAGAAAAGAAAAAAAATATTTTTCCTATAATTTTAACTTCAATGCAAATAAAATAATGTAAGGAATGTATATTTATTTTACTTTTGAGTGGAAAAAATAAAACTATTTAAAAATATTTAACATATATGACAAAGATACATGAGGATAAAAAAAATGGATATTTTCTATATTTTGTTATGTCTACGCTCAACATCAAACAAGATATAAAAAAATAATAATTATGTTTTGTTTCTTAGACCAAACACAAATCAATTTTATTTATATCATACTATCTCATACTATCCCGTTTGTAATGTTCTATTTTTTTAATTTTATATATCATTTCAAACCCAATCTTAAAGTTATATTGCCTTTTATTATGAGGGTTATTTCATAATACTAAACAACCGACCATTAATAAATATTGAATTATTAGAAACAAAAAAGTCTAGGGAATATTGTACTTTAACGAAAACATTTTGAGAGGAGGAAAAATTCAAATTTATTCTCTCTCTTCTTATGCCTTATATACATACAATAGAGGGTAAATAAGAAAAAACAAAAAAAAAAAACCAATCTAATATGTTATAAAGCTTATAACGGACTCGGGGTATAAAAGGAAAAGAAAACTAAATTAACAAACTAGCATAAGTAAAACGAGAGGAGAGGAGGAAGAACATCAAGCACGTGGAGGTTATGTGAAACCCCCTCAAGCTAGAGCATATATGTCAAAAATGCCCGACTTAGAATGCAGTGGGATGAAGGGCCTTTGTGAAGCAATCGCCAACCGATTGCGTAAGAAACAGGAAGGAGATGAATCGGACTAGCTTGTAATTTCTCACAAACAAAGTGGCAATCCAGCTCAATATGCTTTGTACGCTCATGAAAGACAGGATTATGAGCAATGTGCAAAGCAGATTGATTATCACGTAAAAGAATAGCAGGATTTGGATGAACAACATATAAATCGGTTAATAAGAAAATAAGCCATCAAATCTCACAAGTAAGTGCAACGAATGCATGATATCGGCCTCCGAAGAAGAACAAAATATGGTTTGTTGTTTCTTGGACTTCCATGAAATCAAGAAAGGACTAAAGAAGACACGAGATACTTATGATAGATTTTCTAGCAACATGACAAGTTGCCCAATCCGAATCGAAAAAGCTTTAAGTTTGAAGGAAGAATTAACAACAAAAAACAGTCCATGTCTAGGAGATGCCTTAATGTATCGCAAAACACGGTGGGTCGCTCGAAGGTTTGCTTCTATACGCTTGTCAAGGAATTGAGATAAATGTTGTTTAGCAAATGAAATGTCGAGTTTAGTAGTAGTTAAATAAAACAATTTCTCAATCAGTTATTTATAAGAAGTACGATCCGAAAATGAAGGACTCGGTAGGATTATATAATGAAGTTGAATCTCGCCATAGGTGAGTGAACATGTTTGCTATTAAGAAAACCATAGTCTTACGGAAGGTCTAAGGCATATTTTTGCTAATTCAAGTTAATACCGGATGTAGACCTAATAACTTCAAGCTCCAAGAAGAATTTTAAATCCCTTAAATCTTTAATCCGAAAGGCAATATGAAGAAATTATTTGACGGATGCAATTTCATTAATATCATTATCGGCCAAAATCATATCATCAATATAGATGAGTAAAGCAATAAAGTTACTACTAACTTGCTTACCGAACAAGGAAAGATCGAAGTCGTCCGGTGAAAACCGTGAGTGAGAAAAACAAGTAAAAAGCTTGGAATACCACCGTCCGCTAGGTTGTTTTAATCCATGTAGGGACTTGAGCAATTTACAAGCCGTGTTAGGAGGAGCATTATGAATGCTATGAGGCAATTTCATATAGACATCTTCATCCGGATCACAATATAAGAAGGCATTATTAATGTCAACTCGCTACAAATGCTAATTTTGACTCGTAATAATGGCTAACAAGGTCTTGACAGGTGGTCATTTTAGCCACATGAGAAAGGGTGTCCATATAGTCTATCCCTTCTGCTCGCGTGTAGCCTTTGACAATAAGCCTTGCTTTATACCGTTCAATAGAACCATCTCGCTCTAAGCTTAATCTTGAAGATCCATTTACAACCAATGGGGTGTTCGTGAGGGGATAATATAACCAATTCCTATGTTATAGTGTCCTACAATGCTTTAATTTTAACGGACATGCCATCTCTCCAACATGTATGTTTAACGACTTTAATATAAGTTTTAGGTTCAATATTGGTAATGATATTTATGGAAAAGGATTTGTAAGAGGAAGAACATTTATCATAAGATAAGACAAAAGAAAGTGAATATGGAGTACCCGATATATTATGAAGAGAACCATTCGAGTGAAGATGATGTAGCACGAACTTTCGAGGAGACATGTTTGAACCAAGAGGACAATGATAATCTTGAAGATAAGTGGAAGGAATTGAGGAGACATGTTTGAACCAAAAGAACAATGATAATCTCAAAGATAAATGGGAGGAATGATATGTCCTGTGGATCGTCTAAGTGGAGGAAAATTAGAATCGGTAGAAGGACATGATGAAAAACTATCAAGAATTATGGGAGGAGCATAAATAATAGTTATGGGTAAAAGATCACTATTGAAGGCAAAAGGATTATGAATGGGAAGAATAACATCAAGGGTAATGCATAAATAAGATGTTGTAGAGGTGTTGGAAAAAGAAAACACATCATCATAGAAGAAAAAATCTATAGAAATTAAAAATTGTTTGGTTTTGAGATTATATAATCAATATCCCTTAATTCCAGCATTTATAACCAAGGAAAAGATATTGATTAGCTCTACGAGCAAACTTGGATTTATGGCCAATTACGAGTGGAGTAGCATAAACAACCAAAGACTTTCGGATTAACATAGGATGGAGGTTTTTGAAAAAGAAGCTCAAATGGTGTTTTTTACCAATGAGAGGAGAGGAAATTTTATTAATGAGATGAACAACGTGCATGATGCAATCCGCCAAAAAATACGAGTGGCAAACGAGCTTGAAATCATAGTGCTCTTGTTACATTAAGAATATGTTGATGTTTCCTTTACTATGCTCGTTTTGGTGGGGTGTTTTGGTGTAAGAAATTTGATGGATGATGCCTTTGGAATACAAGAAGGAAGGCATGTTAAATTCTTATCCATTATCAATTCTAATAGTCTAAAATTTAGTGTTAAATTGAGCTTCCACAAGAACACAAAGCTGCTACATAAATCCTCCGATTTTAGATTTATTGTTCATTAGATAAATCCAGAGTTGCTCTACTAAAATCATCCACAATGGTGAGAAAATAGGAATGACCATAAATGAAAGGAATGGACATAGGACCCCAAATGTCCATATGGACTAACCGAAAACAATGAGTGGTAATAGAGTGACTATCCGAAAAAGGGTAATCTCTTTTGCTTAGCATAATGATAAATTTCACAATATGGCATAGTTACGAGTACAAGGAATTGATGAATGAGAAACATGTAAAATTTTTAATCTAGAATCGGATAAGTGACCTAATTTGTAATGCCACAAGACATCGAATTTTGAAAAACAATTGAACAAATTCTAGGTATGGTGACAAAATGAATAAAAGGAAAAGAAGATTATTTCAACAGGTATAAGCCATGTCTCTCCTCAGCTAAACCAATCATCTTCTTAAAGTGCGAGTCCTAAACAAGACAAAAAGAAGAAAAGAATAAAAAAAACAATTCAATAATTTTGTTAACTTGCTTGCCGATATCAAGTTAAAGGAGAATGTAGCAACAAATAAAGCATCCGTCAAAACAAGTAAATCGGATAAAATGACGAGTATCTTTGTGAGGACTGGAACTTGTTAGTTATTAGGCGAGCTTTACGGTTGTGTGTGTGACATGATGATATGAAGAAAAATACGACAAAGAGCAAATGATATGGTTTGTAGCACCAATGTCAAGTATTTAAACGGATGTATCGATATTACGAGTATAGTTACAAGAAGAAAAATGGATACCTATAAATATTGGTGCAGTTGAAGAACTACTATTAACGAGTGTTAATAACGGATCTATTAGTATCATATGAAGGCACATTAGAGGATTGATTAGGCAAAAGAGACGAGTATACTCATATATTGATCCCGAGTGATGGTGAAATGATTACGTTAAGAGTCACTATATTTGTCGTTATCGAGCAAAGCGAGTATCCTAAGAATAACGAGAAACAGAATTAGAAAAGGGAATGTGATTAGTCAGTAGCTGGAAATCCTTACTTACTATTTTTAAAACCGGGAGGAAATCCATGTTTCTTGTAGTAGCAATCCACAACACGGCCTATTCCATCACAATGAGTACAAACAGGCCTTCTTCCTCCCCCAAAACGTGAACTAGTACCAAAATTAGTGCCGGCATGTTATCCAACGGAAAGATTACCGAATTATAAGCACCAAATTTTGAAAGACTAGAATAAGGAACTCCTTTACTATAAAACAAAGTCGAAGTATGATTAGATCCAATAAAGGTAGTAGGAACTCCAAGTTATCATTCATGTTGAACAATAAGAGTAAATAC